ATTTTTCGCGATTACAATACTTCCTCCTCAGTGAGGAGAAAAGACATTTGTCATTTTCATCTATCAAAAGTGACACGTCGCTTCCTCGCACTGCAGTGCGCGGTCTTTCATTTAACCATGTGTAACGAAACCCAGCGGAAGAGAGACGCTTCCCTTTCCTTCGCTTATCTTCCTCAATGAGCGTACACCTTCACGCGTGTCACGAGAGGCCGTGAGAGCAGAAATCTGTGCCACAACGTTATAGTCCGGTACTGGAATGAAAGAGAGTAGCAAAACTTATCGTACGCTACTGTTTACGCGGCATGCCTTTGAACTTGGCGGGATGAGCGCTTACCGACTTTACCTATACAAAGTCATGCCGAGATAGCAATACCGTAAAGGCATTTTCGTCATGGAACGCTTCATCTAGTCTTATCGCTCCGTTTGGATGAACATGACTAAAGATATAGATCCAATGTTCCAATACTAAGCCTTCTTGTACCCTATCAAGGAGACCATATTGAACAGCAACCACTTCAGGAAGTGCAAACTCTGGCAGCCTTAGAGTCGCCATTTGGGAGCTTCAGGATGTGTACAGTGGCAATGCAAAAGCAAGATTTTGAGTAACCAAGAAACATCTCCAAAACTCCTTCCAGCTGCCCGAAGAGTACTGCTTGGCAAGTGCGTACCCATGGAGAGCAAGGGAGGAAAGCTGTCCCTCCTTCTCCCTATATCGGTATGAATGAAAAGAAGAGAACATTTTGTACAAAAATTAAAATTTTCATGTACAGGGTTCTCCACTGAATCAATATCTATTAAATGAGAAAATACTAGGATCAGTTAAAATCTATGTTAGATATAAACTTAATTTTGCTAAAAGCACTATATATGTTACGTGTGTTTCAAGTTCGAACCTCGCCTTTGAGATCTCAGAAACGGTGAAGCGAATATCACACGATTACTATTTACTGTGGTCCGTACCATCAGTGGATTTCTGAGTAACATTATGCATCAATAATCACTGACGGCAAGGCTACACAGTCAATGAATATACGATAAATACAGGGTGTCCGTAAAGTTGGGGTTTTCCTTTTCAGAAACAACTACCCTTGAAATAACAAAGGTAATGTGTAGTGAAACGAGGGCCACCAAGTAAAAAAAAATAAAGGAAAAAGTACTCACTCTCCAGTTGACGAGAAGGGCTAAGTACGTCTCTGCCCGAAATCATACCGCTCCAACAGAAAATGAAATCAGCTGATGCGCTACCGAGCAGACGCAGGCAAACAAGGAAGGCAAAATGTTGCGTAATGACCAAACATGTGTTGCGAAAGTTATTCACCCCATTACGCGTGAACGTAGATTCGTCTGTCACCAATATGCACTTCAAAAAGTCCGGATTATTGTCATGTTGATGCAACAACCACTCACAAAACCGCACTCTTGCTGGAAAATCGTCAGGTTGAAGGCCTTGTACACGTTGGACGTGAAACGGATACAGCCCCTCTTCACACAGCGTTTGCCACACTTTAGTTTTTGATACTTGCACTTCTCTAGCCACGTCTCTAGTGTTTGTTGAGGGATTCTCGTCTACGCGATTACCTCTAGACGCGTGACCGTAACCATCGGTTGAAGGTTGCATACTGACCTGACACACTGACCCCGACCCAGTTCTGTCGTCGCGTTGAGCTAGTGTCCTAGTACCACTCGGGGATGTCGCTGCTATAGGACGGTATTCAGATATTTTTGATGTTGCAGAGCCCTTTATCTCGGTTCCCTTAAGACATTGGTGTATATGGTGCTAAGAAAAATTGCTTATGTTTTCAAGATCTACACGTCGTGTAAAGGAATGAGTATATGAGTATACCAACGACTATATCAAAACTTCTCCCTTTGAAGTGGCATATTAGATTATACTAAAAGATTGCACGCTGTTCCATTGAAAAAATGTTTTTGTTGTCATGTCGATATGAATCGTCCTGTAGGGAGCATTATATTCCAAATAGACCACAATTTTTGTAAATTACATTTTGATTGTTTGATAGTAATGGAGATATTCTCCAATCAGATCCTAGAAAGTCACCCTCTATGTCTAATTTGTTGCAACAACTTTTGTATAATATTTCATATTTAATCTTATGCACTGTTTGTCAAAAATAAATGATTTTTTGCAAAAACCAATTAACTGTTGCAACGAACTGGACATACCTATTTTAAAGGTATTTTCACCCTTTTCCCTATGGACTTATTACTTTGAAGTTTGATAAAAAAAGTTACAAAGAATTTTTTATTTCGAGATGAGAAGCCTTTGCATTGACTCTAAAGAATATATAAATCATTCTGCACAATTTCTTCTACATTACATTTGGATCGCCTGAATGTTTTAAAAAAAAGTAATCCCAGTAGGCTTCCATATCCATATGAATTATCAAATCGTCGTGGAAGACTATATAAATTAAATGCAAATAGAAAGAAAAATATCAAACATAGTTATGTAGATATGATTTGTAAAAATTTTTTAAGGTGTTCCTTCTTCGTTTTTGGAACTGGAAATATGTAAAAACTGATAATTCAATCTGCTTTGTCCATTTTTTGTTAAGCCACAAATCACTCGAATCACCGAAATAATGCTGCGTTTAATAATTCGATCTTCAACAGAACGATCTCAATAAATTCTCCAAGCTGTGCTTACTATGAAACGAATAACCTACGATCAGTGCTATAAAATGTAGATAAAACTCGTTCTCAAAGGCACGTTACGGATTTTAAAAAGAAGTAAGAGCAAGGTCGCGCACGTTGTAAGCGTACAAGAGTCAAAATGCTAGTAGACCGTAATCACTAATCTTTTACCTTGGCAAATTGAAACTGGGAAACATACATACATATATATCGAATAAATAATGATACCTACAGGGTGTCAAACTCTGAAATATAATTGATGAAGAAATTCAAATAAGAAATAGTAATATTGTTAAGCCTATACCTACGTAATGTTCTGACAATTGATATAACTATCCATAGTACATGGGTACAGTGTAATAGTCATCCTCATATTCAGCGAAAAAATTGTTACAGGCAGGTAAATGTATCACCTAAAACTTCTCCTGTTTTCAGCTACAAAATATATAGTCAGAAACGTCAAATTGTAATTGAAAAAGGTCACCGTTGTGGCCGAAACGTCGTCATCAGTAAACAGTATATGAAACATACGTGGCTTCACACAAGAAGGAATATCACTTTGTACTTTAAAAAAACGCGGTATTTCTTTGATTAATACATGATGTGAAAGTTGTCATATCTTTCTTGTTACGATAATTACTCATTTTTTAATCGCTTAAAAAACAACAGATTTTACTATTTCTTTGGCAACAGTTCGTCTTGGTTTAGGTCTAATGACGCTTCTTATGTCAAACAATTCACCAATTTAGTGAGAAAAGTTTTTTCTGAACCGAATTTGTTTTGTGTGTTTCTGAGAATTGGTCAAGCATACACGTCACAACCGTGGTTACAAAATTTGAGATAATTATTTATATTTACTTGTAGCAAGTATTAGTTGGGCAAGATGTGTCATAAATCATGCAAATTGATTAACAATATAGACCAAATAGCCTTGGTTCAAAATAGTCATAACCATAAGAGTCGCGACCATAGCATCTTTTTTCCTGGTAGTGACAAATTATCACAGTTTAAGCTCGACGAAGCTGAAAAACAAATTGTTTGGCACATTTACCAAACAATAGAAATTAAATCGAAATCATAAAAACAGTTTTTTTTGCCATCGAAAATAAAAATGATCCAGTACCATTCAGATTCAGTTTCAAGTATGTATTATCATTGATTATTAACTGATTGGTTGATCTTATAGTCTTATAGAAAGATTAAGAATCCATGAATTTCCGCGCCTCTGCCTAGCTATCTATGTTGTAATCATTTTATCTTCCAAAATAAGTACCTACATGATACATGGGAACAGCGTAGAAATTCACACATCCTTTCAAGAGTTTTGCCACTCATATCTTACGAATAACTCCAAGGACAACCCCACTAAAATGATACCACAACTCGCAAATTTCTACTCGTATCTGTTACTGGTACAGTCAAATTAGGTTTGCTTTAGTGATTTTAAAATAAATTGTACAATAAATGTATACCGCACAAATCATTTAAGGTTGAGGTCGGCCAGGTTTCAATGTGTACGAGAGAGAGAGAGAGAGACAGACAGACAGACAGACGCGTGCAACACATATGTTAGAGCGAGCTTCCTTCCTGTCGTGGCCAGATAACGTGTTGTTCACTTTCTCTCTCTCTCTCTCTCTCTTTCTAACCTAAGAGTTGCACGTTTTTCTCTCGTACACGCGCAGTATGTGGTTTTATTTGGCCTGATAATGAAGTCCTGCTATGAACATGAAAACCACAGGATAAGTTTTAGGAGTAATGAATTTCGAATTTAAGATGAACTGATCGAAACATAATCAGAATAAAACGTCAGAAGTAAGAAAAAATAATATTTGAAACTACATCTCTGTAATTGTGTAACAATTTACCAACCTTTAACGGAGCAGTGTTACTAATTATTGTACTTTACTAATACGTGTGCTATTAGCAATAAAGCTACAGATCAAATTCAAGGCAATCCGTCAACACCGGTATTTGTATTTTTTTCTTCAATGCACCATGAACTGGCATTATTTTTAAGGCCCACACCCTCTGAATCCAAAGCTATTCGCATTCCAATCCATGACTGAATGGATCTATGTCGATAAATATATCTCTTTATAGAAGAGATCAAGGCCCGATCGTAATGTACTTTACGTATCTATTATGGAAAATCAGTAAAATGTCAATCACCAACTGGGAAAAGCACAAATTGTGAATAAATGCTTCTTAAAATACTTCCTATGTCGTGAGATATTCGAAATATTAAAATTCGTCTTTCAGACCTTTTGTTTAGCTAGAGAAAAACTAGATAGAGTGGAGATATTTTAAAATCATAATATATCTTTGTAAACATTAGTATTTTTCAGGAAACAGAAATTTCTTGTAGTTTCTTTGAAGCTTTCTTGTTGGTCAGGAACATCAGAGTCAAACAAAAAAGAAAGAAAACGAACACGTATGTGGATGATACAGATTGTGAGGGTTAAATCTGTGCAGACAGGAATAAACCCATAAAAAAAATTCAACGCCTTAAATATTTTTTTATTTCAGAATAAGCGATGTCAAAAAAAGTTACTGACAAAAATGCCATGACTCTACCTTCCAAAAATAGCTGAAAAAAAGAATTTGATTTGTTCATCGTAAAGGTTAATTTTGATAGGCAAGCTAAAAAACTGATAATTGCTTTTGCTGTTTTTTGTGTTATTCGAAAAAAATAGCAGGTAGCATTCAGCGGCTTATATTTTTGCACTGACAAATTTTGAAGTAAGTATTTTTTGTGACTACGCGAAATCAAAAAGCAAAAGTGCAAACGAGAACATATGGATTTTCACGACTCCAGGCATCCTGAAAAACCATTATCATACTACACAGTACTACTACTGGTCGTTGAATTTCAAGGCGGTCCAGTGTGGACCTTTTAGCCTTTATGTCATAAAGATATGAACTAACCGCAAAGACTAAAAATAAACCACCATTTTAAACACTAACCTATATCTGATGAAATATCTGATAGACGTAAAATTTTACAGCAAAGGATACGGAAACGTTACATCAAATGATAGCATGAATAAAAATATAAATAAGACTCACCAAAAGTACAAGTACGCGCGAACAGCTGTGGCAGTAGCGCTCCATCATTTTCAATGTGAATGTGTCGTAGTATTGCGCGAATGAAGAACTATACGACAATGTCTGGTATCTCGGTGCAAATGCAGTTGTGTGGTACGGTATGGTATGGGTATGATGGTGGTGGGTGTCCTTACCAAGAGGCCGCACCCCGGCCCCAGCAATGTACCGGCGAGCTTAGACCGGCGCCAAAGGCAAGATACTTTCACCTCTGAGAGCTGAAGAACCAACCGGCAGACTACGGTCGGCTCTCCGGATTATTTCAGAGAAAATATATATTCTGTCAACCCATAGTTCTTTAGGGTTCTCATTATAGACATGTTCTAGCAATGGTTTTCAAACAGTTGGCAACTGTCAAATTTAGCTGGCAAATCAATCGTCAAAAAAGTGTAATCCAAATCTATGCATGTTCAAAGTGAATTGGTTAACTGTTCACAACTATCAGTGGCGAAGCTGGCTTCTGACGCTACATATCAAAATTTGTCCAGGGGGCGGGGTAAAATTCGAAGAAAGAAAGAAACAAAAACCTTTTTTTTATATTGAAGTAGCCGCGCAAGCATAAGCTTAAATGAACAAGGGCACCGCGTGCTATCAGGATCCCAAAGAAACTTTGTTATTCCTATTTTTGGACTGCCTAAGGTTACTGGAACTGAGAAAAACCTCCTCTTGTAGATTGTTCGACAATCTCGAAACCCTAGGGACAAAGGAGCGGTCGTATCGGCCAGCTCGGGATGTACGAAGTTCGACACGGTTAGGATTTGAGGCCGAAGGCCTGTTTGTCTGGCAGGTAAATCGCGCGGCGGCATCATGGAAGAGAGCTCTGAGGAGCAAAGCCCGTTGGTGTAGCGTTAGAAGAGAGCTAGATCGCCGACAGCCCGCCGGTGCGAAAGGGTCCCGAGACTGGCTGTTAGAGGAGAGTCATTGACCAGTCGGACTGGATAGCATCGAGGATGGGATAACGTAGTCGGGGCGGCAGCAGTCCAAACGTGTGAGCAATACTTGAACCTAGGTCCTATATAGGCCTTGTATAAAATGAGGAGGGCATGTAGAAAAAATTACTTCTTAGCCCTAAACAAACAGCCTAGCTTTTTCACAGCTACTGCCGCTATCCACCACGAGATGTATTCGTGCCAGATTAAATCCTCGGTGTTCTGGACTCCGACCAGTCGAAATGAATGGCTCTTTGGCAGAACTAGGCCACCCATCGAAATAGGATGAGCACTAGGGCGCTTTTTGTTCGTCAGGGTACAGTACTGTGTTTTGGAAGCTACTAAACTGTAGAAGATTGTTACGTCCCCAAGCAGTGATAACTTCCAGGTCTATCGTCAGAGGAAAGTCGCCGCTAGTCTTCTTTTTTCCAGCTCACAGGCAGAGTTCGGCTTGTCTCTCTGAATACCTGTATGTAGAGTGTTGCCGTCAGCAAAGCTGTGACTTGAATTCATCGTACAGGAAAGTAGGTCGTTGATATGTAAGAGGAACATTGTCGTAGCGAAGACCGATCCCTGGGAAACACCCGCGTTGACGTTGTAGGATGAATTATAAACCCGTCAATTACGACGGATATTCTGCGGCCAGAGAGAAAGTCAGCCACCCATCTGCAAAGCTGCTCTGGGATGCCTAGATGGAGGGCAGCATTTCACAGCTGATCGAACGCTTTCGTCGTATCAAGAGCAACGACATGAGCCGTACCATAACTTACTTACTTCACAATTGCGTGACGTAACCTAGAAGGTTCCCTGTGGATCGCTGGTGCCGGAAACCATACTGCCTGTCGCTAATTAAGCCGTGACGTTCGAGGTAGTCCTTACTTATAACAGAAAGCAAAGCTATAGGCTATAGTCGTTCTCAGCAAAATACTGACATGAGATTGGCACCCAATTAAGAATGAGGTTGAGTACCCCAAGAAATTTTGATCGGAATTTCAAATATAAAAGAGCTTTTGAAAATCTTCCCACTTTTTAGGCAGCAGCAGTGTCATAGTGGTAGATGTTATGGGCCTCCTAATCCCGTTCCAAGAGAATTTTCCTCTTAGCTGTGTGTTTTGTGAGTGTCCGCAGCGGAACCACCCAGCGGATCTTTAAGACGGGGCCAGAATGTATGCATATTGCATGCACACCTGTTCCCTCAGTGGAGTCCGTGTGGCGTCTCCCCTTTTCCCTGTATCCCCCTATAGCCCCACGGTATCCATGGGAGTTTGGGCCTTTGTAGTGGTTCAAGTATAAAAAACCTTAATGTAGGTACCTTAAAAAATTGAAGCTACTAAGATTTCCGCCATTCGTTCTTAGAAGCAGACAATTCCAAAGACAAAATTCGGATTTTCTTAGCCAGTCGTTACATATGAACGAAAGTGAGGTATTTTGTAGCGCTGATTGCGAATAAGGCCATGAAAAATTCTAAAGTATTGCAGGTCCGTTTTAGAGTAACAAAATGTGATTTTCGGATTCAGGGTGTGTCCTTCCGAAGTAATCAAGTTAAAATATTCTCAAGTTTCTTGATATTTCCATCCGCATTTGAAATTCATGCGAATATTTTGCGAAAAAGAGAATATGAAAATAATCGTACAACGTATACAATTTACCCAAGAAACTAGTGTTGATCAGAATTACTGATGCGGAACTTTTTCTCAATTTCCTCATACGATCTTGAAAAGCCAAAGTTTCTCAAAGCAACTTTACATTTTGAAGTCACTTTTTGAAACAATATTTATTTACCCTCTCATTCTTGATGTACGTATCTACGTACCAAAACTACTTTCCACGGTACTTCAAATGCCCCCTTATTCATTTCGTACTGTTTGCAATTAATAGTAAACGGGTTTCTAGAAATGTGTTCAACTTAACTATGCAGCCATCTCCAAATGAGGAGTGGTAGCTTTAACAATGACAAAATCTTAACAATTCTAAAAAGACGGAAATGTGTTTAGTAGTACCCCAGTAACCAATATTATGCGAATATTTTGCGAAAAAGAGAATATGAAAATAATCGTACTACGTATACAATTTACCCAAGAAACTAGTGTTGATCAGAATTACTGATGCGGAACTTTTTCTCAATTTCCTCATACGATCTTGAAAAGCCAAAGTTTCTCAAAGCAAATTTACATTTTGAAGTCCCATTTTGAAACAATATTTATTTACCCTCTCATTCTTGATGTCCGTATGTACGTACCAAAACTATTTTCCACGGTACTTCAAATGCCCCTTTATTCATTTCGTACTGTTTGCAGTTAATAGTAAACGGGTTATCATTCAGTAGCGTATGATTGCTTTTTTACCAAGTAAGAGTTAAACTTTTATTTATTTTCACTTCTGATTTTGTATACCAAATTTTGTCTGATTTCTTTATGCAAAACATCTAGCGCAAAAGCATCGGCATGCCTATACGATGAGGTTCAAATTTGGACAACGTCGAATGTGTACGGAAGAGAAGCGCGAGTGTCTTTTTCAAGTTTGAAAGCAAAAAGAAGTCACGGGTGAAATCTGGCGAATACGGTGAGGCAGCAGTTCGTAGCCTAATTCGACCAATTTGGCCGTGGAGAAGACGTGGGTGTGAGCCGGCACGTTGTCATGATGGAAGAGCACTTTTTTTCCTAAATGGGGTCGTTTTTCCTGTAAATTCAGCGTCGACTCGACCGAATAATTCGGCATAGTAGAGTAGTGAATACCAGAAAACGATGACCATCACCTTTCCGGCCGATAGGACAGTTTTCGCCTTCTTCGGAGCACGTTCGTCGGGAGAAGTCCACTGTTTCGACTGTTCCTTGGTCTCTGGTGTGTACCAGTGGATCCATGTTTCGTCGACGGTGGCCGCGGAAACTCCTTCGGATTACGCTTAAACACTGCTCTGAAGTGGCCACACGGTTGAGCTTGTTGTCCATAGTGAGCAAACGGGGCACCCATCGCGCAGACAGCTTTCTCATGCCTAATATTTCATGCAGGATATGACCCATGCAGTCTTTTGTGATGCCTTCTGTCTCAGCTATCTCGCGCACCTTCAATCGGCGGTCTGCCAATACGAGATCGTCGATTTTTGTCAGGTTATCCTCCATTGCAGCTGTTTTCGGGGCACCTGGGCGTGGCTCATCAAAATTCGACGTGCGACCACGTTGAAACTCGTTGAACCAATTTTTTTTGACGGTCGCCATCGAAGGAGAAGGGTCACCGTACACAGCATCCAAGAGTCGAATCACCAACCAATATTTCCACACGCGGTCAAAACAAAACTACGAGTCCGATTCGGCTGAAATTTTGACAGTAACCGTCTACGAGAATGTACCTCACGATAGTAAATTTCTCTTGCGATAGTGGCGCCATCAGACGGCGAGTACATATATATCGGACCGCTCTCGTATGTATGTTAGACATAGTGCTCCGCCGGCAACGCGACCAGCCGCAGCCTCGTCACTCCGGTTGCTAGGCAACGAGGTGATTCTATCTCTTTCTAACACACGTATTGCACGCCTCTCTCTCGTACACATTACGTCAGTGATATCTGGATTTCACTGTATAAGTGCGAAGCAGTACGAGGTACGCCTCTTCACTTGACAATAGAGGATATTTTAAATGTCACTAAATGATCAGCTGGCGTAGTCGGAGAGGGGCTTTGGGGTTCAAGCCCCCTCCCCAAAACTCCACGGTCTAATAAGTTTTCCTTATATAAAATGCAGCATGCTATTTTTTTAAAGGTGTCCGTTTTTCAGAAGCACTGGTACAGCAGACGCCGATACCACTTCTTCAATCTTCATTTGTCTATACCTCCCCCGAGACAGACATCTTCGTCGACAATAAATGCTGAACTTTTTTCTGGATACGCCAGTGGTGCCAAATATTAGGGATGCGAAGAGGTCTGATTTTTCGTTAGATCTACAGTTTTCAATCCTATTGTACCGAACTACCAGTTTTCATGCGAAATCAACCGATTTTTTTCAAGTTCTTGAATAATAGTTTATTTCGGATATCGATACATGAGAATAGAACCTTTTTCAAGTAGCAACATTCATTTGATGCTTTTAGCACTTGATGCTACCCCCTCTTCAATTTTCGAAACCGAATGGAGCTCATCAAGTGGGGTGCCCCCTCCATCTCTTCCATTTCAATCACCGGCAACATTTAGCTTTTCTGTCTGCATTTGCATAGCATCTTATTTTTTATATTCAAATCTATAAAAATGTTGCTTCTGATGTCCAGAATATACTTTTCAATTTAAACATATTTGAGTAAAAGTTTCATAAGTTTGAATAAATTTCAAGGATATGAGTACTTCTTCCAAACTGAACACATCACTTTCAAAGAGTAATAACGTAATTCCTAGCACAAAACACTCAACTGAGTACCCGATAGATGCTCTTCAACGGCAGCTATACCACTGAAATAATACACAAGTTCAATGAAAACAATTTTATTTTAAAAATAATAACAGCACTGTAAAAGGATAAGGACTTAAAAAAAGAATGTACGCCCCAATTATCGAAAATAATAACCAAGGCTTTATAGAACATTTCGAAATTTTATTAAAAATCCTGCGACTGTACATCGTCTTATCACTTTTCTAGTGACCGCCCCAACAAATAAGTGCCATTTTACCCTCTTTTACTATACATAGATACGATGACAGTAAGCCCAAAGTCTCGTATAATAGTACGCGATGACATGTATTACATGTAGTAGATGTACATATAAACTGACACATATTCGTGTAAGAGTTAACTGGTCTGAACGACTGTCTCTAATTTAAATTAATTTAATATGTTGATGTAAAGCGCGCCTGCGTCGACGCGCTTGGTGGAATTCACGTTAGAATTTAGAAGGCGAACAGCAACAGGAAGGCCATCATAAGACAGAACAGACCCATGGCTTCGGACAGAGCGAAACCCAAGATGGCGTAGGAGAAAAGTTGCTGTTTCAGGCTGGGGTTCCTGGCGTAGCCGATGATCAGGGAGCCGAATACGGTTCCGATACCAGCTCCTGTAACAGAAAACCCACACAATCAAAATTTAATTACAACCAGGAATACATTATTTTTAAATAAGGTGGTAATATTAAGTAAAACCAAATCACCAAGATGTATACTGCCGCCATAAGCCAAAACGTGGTAAGTGCAAAAAATTAAAATGAGATATCGTATTACGAGATGAAAGGCATGTAGAAGAAGCATATTTTGATCATAAAACACAATATGCCATGATAAACACCGAAAACCTAAAAATTTTCTTTTACAGTATCAAGCATTTTTACAATAAGCTTGGAATGCAGTATCTGCACAACAATAAATTAAAACAGTAATTGACCCTCGTTTACTGTATTCTTGCTTTAAACCATACAGATACTGTGTTTTAATTTATAACCAAAGCAATGGCGTTAGCAGATACTATAAGACATACACTTAATCACACCACATTCATATTTCTAATTACTCGTACTTTTCGACGGTCATTTAGTATATTTTTTGTAAGTATACTCTTAACATTTTTATAGGTTTCATACTGTATTATTAATAAAAAACAGCAGTCCAGACAGGTCTGAGGTTACAGTATATGCTTTTTGTTTTATTTATAGATTTGCATTCTCAGTAAAATGAATGAATTCTTTAAGACGCATTATCAATTTTAACAGGTTCAAACCAAAAGCATTCTTTGTCCTTAAAACATTACAATTTGAGAAGGATTACCAGACGTTCTAATCGCACCTGTAAAATGTGAAATAAGCAGAGATGTACATCTTCTGGCTTATGACGGCAGTATATCAGAATCGTTTACTTAAGAACAGGTTCTGACTTCTATATAATTCCTATGCACCGACCTCTAAAGCTGCTCTTAAAATTAAACAACCTAAATAACGACGACTTAACACGTGTTCCTTGTTGACGTTGATGGAAGTTATAAAAAAAATTCTTTCTGGAAAGATATGAAATGAAGTTTGTGCAAAGAATATTGTTCTGAACTAAAAGTCAAACTTAACAAAGCTGAACTTAGGCTAAAAATGATGCATCTGAGCATTATAGACAAATAACTTCAAAATGACAAGAGCGGATTTATATTTGTTAAAAGGGCATCTCTTGGTTATAATCGGGTGTCAGATCTGGCAAATCTCGAATTGTGATACTGGGCCTTTAATAGTCACTATTCAATATCCAGTGATAATATTATTCCATTCAAACGATTGAACGTTTAGTTTGCGAATATATGCCATTTGACCGAAAAGTCAAGTAGCTTTACGGGTCAGGATGACGTTCGATATTTTGGTATGTTTGTAGTACAAAACTACATCAGTGACAAAAATATGAATTTTATATTCTAATGGAAAAATCAATGAAAATACTTACCAAACCTAATGCTTGTGACGTATTGGTTAGTGTAACTTGTGTTTTCATGAATCAGTGTTTTAAACTGAGAGGTTAATAAGCAATAATTATAAACATATAACCCTTGTGTGATTCCCAAGTTCCGACACTCTTTATGATCATTTTATATGTATGTTTAAACAATATTTGGAAAAACGCTCACTATGAGCACAAAATTCAGATCAAAGATCAAATAAATATCTTTAAAAATAGTCTGGTTATCATTTTGAACTAAAGGGTGCCGTTAACTTGATACCTAACATATACATCTAATTGAAATAATTGAAAGAAAAGAAGAAATATTGATGTAGAGGAGAATCAATGGCAACACTGCATAGCAACCCAGAACATGAGTAACCTTGTAATCCTACACTTCAAGTGTCTTATAATTTTCATCCAAATATTAAGATTGTTGTTTATGTTCAAATTCTTATGATTAATCATTCAGCATATCGTTGTTAACATAAGAAAACCACGTAACTCCACTTTATATGGCGTTTAAAATAAGAAAAACGCGTAATTCCTGATTTTACCTATTTTCCATTTTTGTTTTGAAAAGTTCAGCTTTCTTTAATATCTTTCAGAAACTGCTCAACTAAACTATAATATTGCATTTATCATAATAATGCTATTATTACTAAAACAATATAATGCATAACTCAATTTGTTTTTACGCTTTCCTCTAAAATTCTTAGAAAGAGTTACGATTTTTTCTTGTATCATCGACGATATACAAATAGTCTTAGTATAGCACTTTTTTTACAGAATCTATACAGCATAGTTTTATATAAACTGTAATAATTTACCGCTGATTTGTAACATCACTGACATCTGCAAAACCAATCAGCCATCTTGGTAGTGCTCCAAAGATAAAGACAGGTCAGCAAGCAAAGTGAGCCTCATTAAAGACCTTTTTGCAAGACAATAAAAAATGTCTACCATTCACATTTATGTTTTGCTATATATGCGTGTGGTAATGCAGAAAAATGTCACTGTTCAAACATTCAGTTTCAATCCTCAAGGGCACTTTGAGTAGAAGCCAACAAGATAGTACCAAAGAGCAGCAGAAGAAAATGAAGGTAGAAAGCAAGTGAAAGATGTAAAGCACAGAAATACACAGCAGATTGAAACATTTAAAGCAATTCCCCAAGTGAAGCTTGCAAAACATTTAATGCTATATTAACAAATATAAACACTGTATACACATTTATATCCTTAAATCTAGAGTGCGAACAGCATGAGGAAAGCTATCATCAGGCAAAAAAGTCCCATTGCCTCTGAGAGGGCAAATCCCAAAATAGCGTAGGAGAAAAGTTGTTGCTTCAAGCTGGGGTTTCTTGCATAACCTATTATCAAACAGCCAAACACCATACCAATGCCGACGCCTGAAATGGGGAGAATGGGATGGGGGTTAGATGTGCATATGAGTGTTATGATGACCGTGTATCTGTAAAAAATCCACGCACGGGCGTAGAAAAAGGTGTGGAGGTTTCTAGAAATGTGTTCAACTTAACTATGCAGCCATCTCCAAATGAGGAGTGGTAGCTTTAACAATGACAAAATCTTCACATTTCTAAAAAGGCGGAAATCTGTTTAGTAGTACCCCAGTAACCAATATTATCATCATGCTAGAAGGACTGTAGTCTCAGCTTTATTTTTATGTATTTACCTCAAAGTAAACTGTGTATTGAAATTACTCCGAGTATTATATTTATAAATTTTCTGTTTGTTATATTACAATTATTAATTAACAATATCTCATTTATTCATGATTAATGTGCTCTCAATTTGACCTTATCAGATCTAGTTAATTCATATAATCAAACTTTTATCGCAGAAATATTTCAATAGGTTACATCATTCTTTTGTCCTCTCATGAAGTTCCTGTCAAGTTTTTCAATTTCTAATGGCACTGAAATAGATAAAAAAATCGAGGTAGGAATTCAACCAATGGATAAAATGACGATTCCGCTGGACTGAATGCATCGCATTATTAGACCAGATTTCATGAAATTGAGCTTGATCTCAATTTATGTGATCTATGTTTCTAGGTGACTGCCATTTTTGACCTCAGTCAGTGAATGTCATTGATGAAATCAATTTTATTGTCGAATTGTCAAACTCGATTCAGGAGATTAACCTCAAGTTTTACCACCCATATAACATGTCAAATTGATATACCAAAACTGGGTTTTTGAATGAGAGCACCTTAGTAAAATTCTTGTCAAAGAAAATTTGAGAAATTTCCTCATTATAGTTTATGAATTGAAATCTGCGGTTTTCTACATATATATTTTATTTTATGTAAGCCATAGTCATTGTCATCAACCACTAATTAGATGAGAAACTCAAACTTTGATGTAAAATCGTGAAATTTGCTTCACAATGTGAAAGTCAGAGTGATTATTGATACATTTTAAAAAAGTTTTGAAGTCCATTGTGGTGTTCTTGACATATAGCTATGAGAATTTTAAAAAATTTTTTAACAAGTATTGATATGGATCCAGTTCTCATCGCTTTGCTGAGGTTCTCATTAACTTAGTTAAGAGCATTTAGCAATAATCTCAATTACTTTGCTCCTTAGGATGATAACATAGATCAAAAGATCAAGAATAAAGTTCAAAGAGTACACTTTGCAAAATTTTGTCAATTCCTAATCAAGTTTGAGTTTCTCACTTATTTTATATAAGCATTATAGGTATGTCTAAAAATTCGACTATGCAATCAGAAAGCTCGAATTTAATATTCAAAATGCTTGACTGGCAAGCTGATGAATCCACAATTCCATATTTGGCACTCAGTATGGAATCAAAGTACAGTCCAATTTTAATGCTGCTTTTGTTGCAAGTTGTGTGCCCGCCGATTTGATAAAAAATTGATTTTGGACTGTCAACTAACTTCGAGACAACTTTCTAGAAACCTCTATATCCCAACAACTTTTACTTTTCCTGTATTCAAACCTACCTGAACCAGCAACTCCTACTGTGGCGGCGCCAGCGCCAATGAATTTAGCTGCAGAGTCGATGTCTCTGGTGGGTTGTGTGGCGTGGAAAGAACGGATGGCTGGCATCAATGCTGGTCTGTTCTGTACGGACTCAATGAGGCTCTGACTTCTTTGGCTACCCTGCGTCTGTTGACATACGGCACTGCTCAGCGGCCTCAGGTATTGCTTCGAGCTGGCAACAAGCTGGAACAGAATTAATCATGGTGAATTTATTTATCAACTATCCTAAACGAGCGGCTCTGTCCGCGTAGAAGTAGTGTAAAGTATAGATCATTCGTTCTGCATTAGTGTGAAGGAAATTGGTTTAGGATCAAAAAATGTAATATTCAAAGTAATGCAATAGTTACTTTGGCAATGCTTTCAGCATTTTAATATCAAATGTGTTATTAAAATTATTATAAATAATGAGTGAAGTATCTCACAGCCAGGTGTGATCGAGTAACAAGCATCCACATTTTCTCATTTATAATATTAGTAAGGATTGTTTTGGTGGTTTTGTTTTCAGGTGCTACTGGCCAATGTTATTTGACATCACTGGGATCTTTTCTCAAGGTAATACCTATAAGAATTTCAACAGAGCTCTCCTATCAATTAGATTTTTTATATAATCAGCTTTAGAGAAAACTGAAGTAACTAATTTGTTCTGAAAAAACTCTGAAATAAAGAGTTGAAAGGTAAAGAAATCCTTATATCCCTGAGGATATATGTTTTCCTGGAAATCTTAAATGACTATTGAATCTTAAGCTCTTGACTGTAGAATTATAATTAATCTCCTTATACAACTCACTGTAATGGACAAAAGTATATAGACAAATTAATATTGTGCTGTATTTCTTTTTAACTTGTTTTATTAGTACACCAACCAGTATACATAATTCCTTATAGCATAATACTCACTTATACATAAATAAATTCATTAGACTCCCTTCAATAAAAAATTAATTGAAAAAAACTGGAACTATGAAGGACAAAAATATATAGACAAAGCAAAACAATTATAGAAAAAAGAAGCAATGTTCATTGAATTATAGAAAACCAACCATGTTTGTGTTAATATTTTGTATCATAACCATTATCATCAATCACCACCTGGCATCGTCTCTGCATAGACTGTAGAAGTTTCTTGATATAAGATTCATCCAGCTGTCTCCACCTTTGCTCTAAAGCAGCAAAAAGTTCATCGTTGTTTGAATAATTTTAATCTCTTATTTACTTATCTAAGTTTTCCCATAGATTTTCAATGGGGTTTATATCGGGAGACTGTGAAGGCCATTTGAGAAAGAATTTCTTTGCGAGATTTGAAGTGTGCTTCAGGTCATTATCTTGCTGGAAGATTGATCTTAAGGGCATATTGTCTTCCATATAGGTTAACATGCTTTAGTATGTCTGTGTATACAAACTTATCAATAATGCCATCTATTATATGTAAAGCTCCCATCCCAAACCTTGAAAAGCACCCCCAAACCATAACAGATCCTGGCCTCCACGTTTGACAGTGGGCAAAGTGTACTTGGGGTTCAATCTTTGTCCACTAGGATGTCTAACGTAATGAACAACATCTGATCCAAACATATTAAACTTGGATTCGTCACTGAAACATACCCTCTTCCAGTCACAGATGCTCCAATCAAGATGCAACTGTGCAAATTGTAATCAGTCCTTACGGTTTTTCCTCGAGATTAGCAGTTTCTTACTTGGACGACGTGCAAATAACTTCAAATCATTTAATCTTCTACTTATAGTTTTCATAGAAACACTGACAATTCCTTTTGTCTTGATTTCGGATTTTATTTGTCTTGGATCTTTGGACGATATTACTTTTATTAATCTGATATAGCATTTAGTTTTCTAGGCCAACCACTTCTCTTAGAGGCTTCCAAGATACCTTTTTGTTTATATTTGTTCAATATTGCCCAAACTGCTTTATGCTTTAGCTTCAAATTTTTGGCAATGTCGACTTGATGTTGACCATCTTTGTACAGGGTGGCGCAGAGGAAACGCACGATTTTCACCTAAGCATAACATTTTTTATTTTCAAGATAACTTTGTTTCAGTTACAGCTAAATAAAGTAATGATAGTGCACTTTTAAACTAATGATGGTAAATAACGTCACTCAAGTGTCGCCCTGCTTCGCGCTCGCACATCTCCAACCGCTCTTGAAAGTTGTGCATTACACGTAAAATCATTTCTTGTGGTATTCTTGCAATTTCTTGACGAATAGCAATTTTCAGTTCCTGTAACGTACGAGGCTTGTGAGGGTACACTTTATCCTTAAGGTAACCCCACAAAAAGAAGTCGCATGCGGACAAATCTGGGGAGCGTGGGGGCCAAGGGACATCGCCGAAACGGGAAATCACATGTTCAGGAAACATCTGTCGAATCCATTCCATTGATGCTCTCGCTGTGTGAGCTGTGGCACCGTCTTGTTGGAACCACAGCTCTCCCATGTTTACTTGTTGCCGTTGAAGTTCGGGTAACAGAAAATTTTGTAACATGTGAACATAACGTGCTGAAGTAACTGTTACTGCTCTTTCTTCCTCTTCAACAAAGTAAGGACCAACGATACCTAATTTACTGATTCCGCACCACACAGTTAATTTTTGACTATGCAAGGGTCGTTGGTGTAGCTCTCGTGGATTTTCGGCCGCCCAATACCTACAGTTCTGCTTGTTTACATATCCTGTTAAATGGAAGTGTGCTTCGTCACTCATCATTATGACGACGTCAGGATCGTCAGCAAAAATGGCCCGCATTCTCGCACAAAATTCTCTACGCTGTGCAAAATCGCTTTCTGTTAGCTCTTGCACGATCATTATCTTGTACGGATGATATTGTAAATCGTCATGCAGAATGCGTTGTAACGACCGACGGGACATACGCAGAGTTGGAGCTTGGCGCCTAGTGGACCGTTGGGGACTATCAAGGACCGCTCTTCTCACTGTTTCGATATTGCCTGGAGTCCGCACGGTACGGGGAAGGCCAGGTGGCTTCCTCTTCATTACGGATCCAGTACTTCGAAATGCTTCAACCCATCGGAGTATTGTGTTTCGATCTGGAATTGGCCCGTGGCGTTCAACATTGAACTGTCGACGGAATAAACGTTGCACGATCACTACAGAATCATCGTTTCGAAAAAATTGCTCGACGGCAAACACACGATGCTCCGTCATCCACGGTGCCATGGCTGAAACTGCATCGCATGTGTTCTCTGCTGGCGGTGCGGCGAGGTCATATCCCTATTCTGTGCGAAATACCATTCGGTCAGAAAACATGCGTTTCCTCTGCGCCACCCTGGTATAACTCAATGATCTTAGTTTTCACATCGATAGACTAATGTTGAAAAGAATTTGTCTACATATTTTTGCCCCTCATAAAACAGTGCTTATATTCAGACTTGCATTTTGTTTATTGCAGTTAAAGTAAAAACAAGGAATTTAGTTTTTCTACTAATAACGCATTTGTTTATGGAGCAATGAAGTATAAATTTGTTTTCTAAAGGTATTTTGGTAAATATTCATATTCGTCTATATACTTTTGCCCATTACTGTATATTAGCTATCATAAGTTAAAAATCATGTGACAACTATAAAAGGTATAGGTATAGAATCTGTAGTGCTTTATTTTTCATTTTATATAATAAAACTTGGTTAATAGTTGATGAATCTGTATTTATTTCTACTATTGGATATGTTTCATAAAAGAATCATCTTGTGAACCTCACACCCTGTTCCTGAGTCTAGGCTAGAGTTACAATCAACCTTGATTTTGTGGAATTATGAATTTCTTGTATTCTTTGTGAAAAAGTTGAACCAAAATTATAAGGTGACTTGAGTAATGCATGACTATGTACAAAAATAAGCTGCAAATGAGGAAAAAAACATGAAACTCAAAGACAAAGGGAAACAAATTGTACTTGGTTAGTTTCAGAGAAATAATACAAACAAATATGTACTAGAACATCAGTGAAAAGATAAATTAACACTAAATAGGTCATGAAGCAGCCTGATTGTTTCATAACCAAATTCTATAAATAAGGTGTTATAGAATGAATGCTTCATTGCCATGGTAATCTATTATTAGATTAAAAGGTACTTTGGCATAACTTTTCATAACCTCACAAAATAACATAACACATAAACTGAATATAGGTAACTAAAAATGTAAGTTAAATAATGTATCTCTACTTAAAAAAGCAATGTATCAATATTCAAAGTTTGAATAATATTAACAAAAGGAAAAGTAATATGAATTCTTCCAATGTCATTATGTGGATGTTAAGAACACAACTGACAAGACAAATATAACCATCATTATCTCTATAAGGTCATAATGATAATTATGATTTTTGCCATACAAAGGTGCCAGATCTCATATTGTTTGTGATAAGTTACCATTTAATGTCTCCTTAGGCCCATGTGGCATTAAACAAATATGCATGCAGACATTGACCATTATCAAGGATACTTAGAGGTTGAAGAGAAATAACTAAATACAAAAACTGAAATTATGATTCTAAAATAAATTATTGCTCATTTTAAATGAGATAATGCAAGTCTCATTGTGAAAATCTAATAGCAATGTCAAAGTATATTATGCAATCACTACCTACATATTCCTTATCACTTGAAAATCAATATCAGCAGTTTTAGCAATTTGAGAAACATACACTAACTTAAAATAGCTTCTTAGTTGTGATCCCATTGTTATGTAATAATACTGTATTGGATCTTCAAATAATTTACAATATGAACAGTGACAGTGAATATGTTGATACTTTTCCTGCAGAACAATCTGTTCTTGAGGGAAAAACATATGCTAGGTGCAAGGGATATCACACAACTTGAAACAATGGTCTTTACATGCAAAAATTGATCCAACTTAAATTGTACTTACTGCGCTTCTGGTGGCAGGGGCAATCAATCTAGCACAGGCGAACATGTTTGTGTTTATTTTTTGTATCCTAAAGCCTGGAAAATAACGCTTATATTAGTAATGTCTTCAGGTCAAGATGTCAAAATCATAAGAACTAAAGTTCAAGATACCCCGGTTACGTAATATATATGTCACGATATGTATAAAATTTGGACTATTCATTCAAAAATCGGCGTAATCCAAGCAGAAGCAGGTTCTAATTTGGAGTGTCAGCCAACAATTAAATTTGACGTCTTGTCCGAAACGCCCCGGTGTACGATGTTACGTATACGCGGCCATCTAGACTTTTTATGTAAGACCTCGATTAGGAAATATACCCTATAAAACTGAAAAATCTGCACGAAGACACTATAATAGAGCAATCAATAAGGGAATTTCACACTTTATACTTATGGATGGCACGTACTTAGAAAGGAAAAATCAGATTTTGCACAGAAGAAACTGCACTATCACCAACCCGACTTACCAACGACCAACGAACAGGCAGAGCAGAACAGCGCCAAAATCAAGTTATCGGAAACGAGGAGGCCAAAGAAATGGACACGTAAAAGATCGACTTCACCCGATTGTGACGTAAGAGACAGTGCATTGAGCACGGTTGCGCGAAAGGTAAAGGTGGTTTTGCACTTTAACAAAAATACATCAAGCAAATGGAAGACTATTGGATCATATCGCAATATGATGATGTATTATTTATTTTATCAATTGGACAAGTCATGTTTATATTATCGTCCGATTAGAAAATCTAAATATATAAAAGTCAAACACCTCACTTGTTGACGATTTCTCAATGACTATTGATAAAAATTTTATCTATAAAATAATATTTGAAAAAATAGTGATAAACTGGTTATCTTCATTATATTATTGTCGAAAATTGTATTTTTATTTCTTGATGCATATCATATAAACATATCAATACAAATTAAAAATAATAAAATAAAATAGTTATAAGCTTTATTATAAAAATTAAGTGGAACTGTGAAGTTATAGCCATAGTTGTTTATTGACATTTTACACAAACTGTGTTTATTGCATAAATATCTAAAATGTAATAAAGTAGATGCTTATTACATTGGATGAGTACGTAAAAAGGGTATAGAGTCGCGTTAAATAAAACAGTTTCAATAGCTAATTGAAACAATAGATACGTTAAAATATATTATGCATAATTTATAACAAAGAATGAATAACGGACTCATAAAAAGTATGTTATTCAGTAGTGCACAAGATACGTCCTCAGGCGTTCTTTAAGTATTTTGACATTCTTAAGTCCTTTAAGCTCAGCGGGAAGCTTATTATAGATTTTTATAGAGGCATAATCATGTGACTTTTCAAACATTGTTGATGCATGTGATGGTATCCTCAAATCCATGCCAGCTCTTGTGTTGTAAGGAACAATTTACATATTTATTGTTAACAAACCTACATTTGTTGTGGAATGCATTATAGAGCGCAGTTAAAGATATATACTGCCGGAAGCGTTAGTAGATTATTACTCTTGAATGCAGACCTACAAGATTCACGCCTAGGTATCACACTATTCTTTTTGAATTGTGAATGCCCTGTTCACAATACGGGCTGGTTCCTAAACTATTATGGCTCTTCACAGATGAAAGTATACCATCGCATAGTAAACATTAAGCAATACTGCTTGTGTTACACAGTGCTTCAATTTTAAGATGATATGACTTGAGAGTTTTACATATTAAGTCAATATGCTGTTGCCAAGTAAGCTTGGAATCCATAATTATCCCCAGAAAAAAGACGTCGCGAAGCCGTGACCTACAAGTAGGTATAAGAATAGATTTTTAATATATTCTAATTGTATATGTTTATTTTCTTAGCATATGCGGTGTTCCTCTTTAGCTTTCAAATAGGTAACTTCCTGAAATTCTGAAAACATTTTTGTCTTCCAAAGGAATCAAGTAATAAAACAATATCCTATTAGGTAGTGTAACGCTACCTTAAACGTTTTATTCCTAGTAAGTGGGAGAAAATTTGACATTTGCGCGGAATGAGTACGCATGAGCAGAAAGAAAATCTGGTGAAGCGATTTCGTTGCATCTGGCCCGGTTGGGATGGGAACAAATTGTGTGAAAGGGATCGATTTCTCATGTTGCGAAATATTTTCGTTTTCAAACGTTTTTAGTGTTCTCAAGGCACATTTGAAGCTAAATATCATCATTCTATATATAAAGTTAATGAGTGAGAGGATATTTGGGAATCTCAGAAGAATTCAATTTAAATATCGAGTTCAAATAGCTTTTTACCCACCTCTAGTATTTTCAAATTTTGAATTACCTTCAGGATAATTTCATAGCATTTTATTTACAATCTAGTGCTTGTATTATATTCATGTAGACAGGTCTTCATGTTAGTAAATATTGAAAATCATTTTTTTAATTCAATTTCATTTAGTTTTATACAACTGAATATATTAGCAGATAACAGAAGTACCTACCTTATGGTTATAACGTTTTAAACAGTTATCACGAGAACAAAATGAAAACATTTTATTTTATATTTACCTGTTTAAGATATTGAACTATACACTGCAAATAAGTTGTTCATCTAGGTAGCTTTATCACATCATATAACCACTTTTACAATAGTACATAATTTAGCCACTACAGAGCACTAGCAGTAGCAAATCCTTGTTTAACACTGAACTGATTTTTTAATGTTATCTACAAAAAGGTTAAAGCTAATGGTTATATAACATTTTCCTAGACCAAACAAAAAAGATAACATATTCTTCAAGATAACACTTGCTACCAATTTCGTCATCGATTAATGTAATGGTTAAAAAAAACATGAGAGCAGTGACAAGTTGATTTACAAAGTGGTCAGTATCATATGTCAAATGAGAATTCGTAAAATTAGGTTCAAAACGAAATAAAGAACATGTTTTCAATTATAGTTATTTATTATTCTTACAAAAAAATACATAACAGTATGTCCATTGTACCTTAACGGTAAGATTTTTGGTAGCGTGCTCTTGCACCTGGACCACCAAACTTCTTAGGTTCACATCTACGTGGATCTGCTACTAAGAGTGTTCTGTCATATTGGATGAGGATATCTTTCAGTTCTTTTTTAGAGGCTTCATCAACATCTGAAAAATGTGAATATTAAAAAGATAATAGGTCTAAGGTGGATATTTTTTGATCCATTCCAAACATCTCAACTTTTCAGATATAGAATGGTAAAGTTTTCAATAAAAAATGTCAGTAACATGCCAATGACTTTTCTAAAAAAAACCTACATGGTGATATTCCAATAATAAAGGTATGATTATGGGGAGAAATATTTAATTTCTTTGAGCAAAAACCATATAAATTTGCTTACAAATGACTGGATTTGAAGAATAATTTTTATTTTAAGAGAAAACAGTGGTGTACCATCAATGTCTGCAAAATAGTCAGATGAAATTCCATACAAATACCACTCGTGTAAATATGTAGTACATGTAAAAAATTCTATCTAATATTGTGCCAAATTCGATTAAAATATCTAAAGTGGTATTTACAGATGATAAATTACTTTTTTTGGAGCTTTTACCATAATTTATCTCAAAAGTTAGGACTTTTATGAAGTTTTCCTTTTAGAATTGACACAAAAATTGCCCACTTCAATATCGACATTCAAGTATGAAACACCCTATATAATTTGAATAGTGTTTTAATTAAAAGGTTAAATTCCTAAGACAAATGTCACATGATCAGTATTTATTATCAGTATTTGGTATTTACTGATGATTGTTCCAGTGTCAGTAAAATTATATGTAACTTCATCCATCAATAACTACCAATCTCTAGGCGACACAGTAAATATCACATTTCATAATAAATACTGACAGATCACAGTAAATACTTATCCTATGACATTTGCCTATGGTTTGTAATATGTCATCTTTCACCTAAGCAGCATTGCCAGATGTACGATAAAATCATTTCTGTACGATAATTTCAAGTACTATATATTTATATATACAGGGTGACTTCGAAGGTGAGTCATTTATTTTAACAGTGAGTAGATCTGATCAAAAGAAATGTTTTTTTCCTTTACCATTTTTCTGGTAAAATTAAAGTAACAAAGTTATAGCCCTTTGGAAGTTTGAGTACCGCCCTGTCTCAATAATGATATTATGTTCTCGTGTTTGGCAACAACAGATATAATCCGCCTTATCCGTTCATCGCATCGGAAACAAAAAAGCGAAAGAATTTGGAACGATCTTTTTACAATTATTTTCTTCAGTTGTATACAGTCAGTACCAGTCGGTAGTCTGTAACGCGTAAGTGAATAATCGTGTCTGTTGCGAGGCTCAAATCAAAAATGGCACATGTTTACGAAAATGCTGAACTTGTGGACATGGTTCTTATTTACGGGGAGTCTTTACAAAATGCTGCCGCGGCATCACGGATCTATGCGGATCGGTTTCCCAATCGAGTGCAACCAACCCCTCGTGCCTTTGTTAATGTAGTGCAAAGAGCTCGTGAATCAGGTGACTTAAGACCTCACAGAGGAGATCATGCCGGTGCACCAAGACCACACGATCAAATAGAACTAGAAGAACAAATTTTAGAATTAGTAAGTGATGATCCAACAGTAAGCACCCGACAAATTTCAACTCAATTGGCGATTAGTCAGTATAAAACTTGGAAAACTCTACGTGAAAATCAGTTCTATCCGTTTCACATACAAAAAGTGCAGGCCTTACAACCGGAAGATCATGAACACAGGGTTGACTTTTGCAATTGGCTTTTAAATAAACATCAAAATGATGACAATTTTTTAAATCAAATTTTAGTGAGTGATGAAGCCCTCTTTACTAGAAACGGAATTATTAATTCACGTAATTCTCACGTTTGGGCTATTGAAAATCCCCATGAAATAAGGGAAACCAATTTTCAACAGCGATTTGAACCAATCAACCTGTGGGCGGGAATTGTTAATGGAATTTTAGTGGGGCCTTTTGAATTACCAAATCGCTTAACTGGTGAAAATTATTTTGATTTCTTGCAACACAATTTGCCTGGTTTACTGGAAGATGTGCCTTTAAATATTAGACAAAACATGTGGTTTTTACAAGATGGGGCACCACCCCATTATGCAAGAAATGTGCGTGAATTTTTAAATAGACAATTTAATAATCGTTGGATCGGCCGTGGCGGTTTTGTACCTTGGCCGCCAAGGTCTCCGGACTTAAATCCTTTAGACTTTTGTTTGTGGGGTTGGCTAAAAACTCTAGTGTATAAAACACCGGTTAATACACGCGAAGAATTACGTGCTCGAATTGAGGAAATGAGTACAGTGATCAGAAATCAACCAGTGATTTTATTGCGTGCTTGTAAAGAGACATGGCTAAGACGCGCCCAGCTGTGCGTCGAGCAAAACGGAAATCATTTCGAACAGTTTTTGTGACATGCTTTTGGGCGCACAGGTCCGCACTGAAATACTTGTCGGGAGGATACTTTATAAAACAAGGAAACATTTTTTTTTATTTTTACACACATATTTTGGTTTATCTTCCTTCTACAATCATTATCTGAAAATTAATGACTCAACTTCAAAGTCACCCTGTATATGTGTAGGATAATACCTGAATGTACGATAATTTTGCGAATGAGCTTTTTTGGTCACTGGTATTGAATCAATCTAACAACTACGTTCAATTAACACCAGCAAGCAGCTGTCAGTGTTGCCGCTTGGTAGACAAGCGCGCATACTCCACTCTGTATAATGGGTTGCCTAGCATTATGGGGACTATCTCACCAAATATGAGGAAAATTTGCCATCAATCAGTTCTTACCTTCTATGTATTGACATGATGTGCATATTTTTATTTACCCATGTGCATTAGATGAAATGAATGCGACGTTTCCCGTTTTTATGACTTTTGAAACTTAAAAATCAAAAGATCATTTTCAGTTATTTTCTATATTTAACTGGTTTCAATTCAATAACGATATGTCTCTCCAATACAGAAAATAAAAAAAAAGGAGCGGTATCTTTGAAGAAAGCCAAACATAGACAGCAAGCTTATAGGAAAGAGTGGGAAACAAAACAGCCCCCCGAGACAAAAATTTTCCTTCATCATGAATTCTGAGAGAACCTAAGGCTCGGTGTAATAAAAATAATAATCTATATTCCAAATTGTACAATGACATTACAAAAATTGTATAGCCACTATAAAATGAAATGTTGCGTTACTACCACCATAACTATAGTAGTTTACCTGAGACCTTTTTTTGTGTTACATGGTTATTTATCTTAAAACAGCTACTATCTCATACTATTACAACTCCCATCGAACTCATCTATTGTATCAGGCTCTGACTGTACTAGAAATTGCTTAATAGTCTTTCTAAATTTATGTAAACTTAAGTTTTTAATTTCATTTGGTAGATTGTTAAAAAGGGCTTTTTTCTGTGGAGGACAATCTGTGTATCGGATAAGTAACATTGACTGTTCGAGTATCATAAACAGTTTGCACCTCATGCTCAAATAAATTTTTATTTTTGAAAAAACATATAAGACACTCACACATAGATGGCATACATAGTCATGATTTTTTCATTGAAATTCAGCCCCTTTAGCAGACGTACTCCTCTTTTTTGAACAACAAATTTTTTTAATTAAACCTATTGCGTCCCCAAAAAATAATCCCATACTTTAGAACACTTTCAAAATTAGCATGGTACAATATTTTCATACTCGTATTATTTAGATATCTTGATATCACCCTAAAACCATAGCAAATGGAATTGAGCCTCTTCAGCAGTTCGAATATATGTGTTGTCCAATCTAAAAATTCATCAATATAGATGCCTAAGAATTTTACACTTTCACTCAACTGCAGTTGATGATCATCTATATCGATACATTGTGGCTTAACGACTTTACTCTGCTTAGTTCTAAATAATGTTGCATCAGTTTTGGTTTTATTTAGCACTAGTTTGTTCTCAGAAAAACCACGTATTCACACTTCTGAATAAGAGATTCCCATTAGTCCTCTACACTTGTCCCACCCAACACTAAATTTGTGTCATCAGCATAGCAGATAATTTTATGCTTGCTCTGATCCCCACTAGTAACAAAGCAGAGATCATTTAAAAAAACTAAAAACAAAATGGGCCTAAGTATACCACCCTGTGCTATGCCGGTTGAAGTCAACTCAATGTGTGACTTGTAAGTTTGACCTCCTTTAACAATTTCAACACTCTGTTGTCTATTATAGATGTATGAAGAACAATTCTAGCGCAGTTCCTCTTACACCATATCTTTGTAGCTTTAATAACAATATGTCTCTGTTGATGCAATCATAAGCTTTGGACAAGTCCAGGTAGAAACCAACCGTGTAAGATAATGTACTATAATTTTGACGTGTTTTTACGATAATTCCCTGCGACGAATCTGGCAATGCTGCACCTTAGGTTCTGTTACAGTTACAGAAGTAATTTATGCTACTCGATATAAAGTTCTCACTTTTTTAGCTTATCAGCAATTTTGTCATACTTCTAATACTTACATTTTTGGTAATAGGCTACCAATGCTTTTGAGATGGCCTGCCTGATTGCATAAATTTGGGCCACATGACCACCACCATTGACTCTTACTCTGATGTCCACAGACGAGAATTTGTCCTGTAAACATTACTAAATTAATCTCAACTATCTTTAACAACAAATAAACCTATTTTAGATGATCAGTCAGTGAAATGTTTAATCTCAAAGCATGACAGCTCATATTCGGGATAAAAGCTTCATCACAATATATCTTTCCTGTCATAATTTTTCAATTCTAAGCCAGCAGATTGAACTTATTATAAGAGTTAAACCTGCGAAGTTAACAGACAATACTAAGGGTCCTAGGCTATTTTCTCCCATCATGAATTTAATCTGAATAAGCTCTCATTTCTGCAAGGAAGGATGTTCATATCTCTGAAAGGGTCTTACCTTTCCCAAAAGGTAGATGGGTTCATACAATTTGTCCATCAGCATTTTGGGTTCCCATTGGTTCAAGGGCCTTCCATTTACTCGGAGTACACCTCGGCCCCGTTTACAATACGCTACAGCTGTAGCAGTTTTCTAAAAAATAACGAAACATTGGAGCTTTCAGCAGACACGTTTTTTTTAGGTTAGAGCGACTGTTAACTGTTTCGCCAAAGTAACTTACCTTCCTTCCAAAAACTTGGACGGAGTGGATAGGCTCCTTTTTCTGAAAAAATGTTCAACTTTTTAGGTAGGTCGTGGTTTAAATGTGAATTATTCTGAAAGAAATTCATTAAAATTACCTTTTGCGGTTGCTGCTGCATGGCCATTTTGTGGGAAAAGAACGAAACTACAAAACACAACGGAAATGAGACTGTCAAATCCAAAGTCTGTCGGAAGCTGTCATTTGGCAACAACGTCAAAGACATGTTTGAAATTTACCGCATTTTTATAGCTCCAATAATTTTTTTGGTTTTCTTCTACAGGTTTGTCCTTGTATCCCATCAAGTTTGAGCTTTAGAACAAAGTTTGAGTATGCATAGCTACATACGATGGTTACAGCATCGATATTATGCTTGCAATTTCTAATGCATCGAACGTGAATATGGTCGACTTAACATCTCTATCATGTAGACATTAGAGATGTATAGATTAACCCTAAAGAACTGCTCTTTTATGCGTACTGGTGAATCGAGCAACGATTTGTTCTGACAACTGGCATCTTTGTAACGTATTAATCCATTTAGGTTCAACTGCAACGTCCCGACACCAAACTAATATGAGAATAAAAAATATTAGCAAGATTGATTTTATGAATAACTGTTCTTCGTGTTCGCTCTTTTCGTACATCTCTATTATCATGTGTGTTTGACATTTACACGTCCCTAGCTGTTTTGATTTGATGCTTTGTTGTGAAACAGCGACAGGAGATATTTTGCGCAGCCATTATTAGTTTCGGAAATCGTTGCATTTACGGTCTTATAACAAATCATTGTGATTATGAAAAAACACCTCACTCTTAGTGAGAATCCAAAGATGAATACCAAAAAGAAGGACCTGGAAATCATCTACAGCTTGCAATGGAGGACGAAACCAGAAAATGGTGGTAGCGACAAGGCGAACATCATAGGAATGTACGATATTCCTTCTACCACTTTGAACTGGGAGGTTTTCAAATCGTATTTGGTAAGTGTTGCATTTATTTATTTAATTAATGCAGTGCGGGTTAACTTGTTCTTAAACAAACGTATAAAATGGCACCCTGAGGCCATAACACTTTCTACAAATTGTTTATTTTGCTGACGATGATGATTAACAAGTAATGATAAGCAATAATTATGAAAAAGCTAAAGAGAAACGTACTCTGAGCATTTCTTTTCATACTTTTTTCCTCATCAAATGATAGATATCTGTTTTCTAAATACAATTGCTTAAATATTTAGAGCAGTAGAGTCCATTGTACAATTTGGAAAAATGGATGTTTTCCAAACTACGAGTCCCTTCCCACTTCAGTTGGCCCACTTCAAAATTTGTACCAAAATATGCCTTTATAAACTAATCATGGCGAAACTATTTACTTCTAAAACAATTTATTTTCTCAAAAACATTTTAGATACACTCTAGTCGTAAAAAATACATATTTGAAATCATTTAGACCTATAACTGATAGAACATCTGAACAAATAAACAATGTGCGAATAAATGCGCGAAGTTAACAAGGCAAAAAATGAAAGATTACCATTGGTAACAGCAGCTTTATTTTTTATTACAGCTGAAATTCTTTGGGGCATAGTGTTAACCCAGTTTTGGCAAAAATTTGGTGTAATACAATCCCATATTTCTTGAAGCTTTTGTCTCAGTTCGGTGATTGTACGAGCAGGATGTTGTTGTAGAACCTTTTTCATCTCGTGCCACAAAGTTTCAATAGGTGACAGATCTGGACTGCTAGAAACCCATTTCAAAAGTGGTACATTATTTTCTTCTATCCATTTTATAGCCTTTTTTGAGGTATGGCATACTGCACCATCTTGTGATATTACTTTTTTTCCACATATGGTGGCTTAATATTAACTGAACCAGTTATGTTATATCTTCTAACAATATTTCTCACACTGTACCGTGATATGTCTAACAAAGTTGCAATTTCTGAGTTTGATTTCCCAGAATTAAAAAATTTAATTATCAGTAACCAAATTTTCTCACTAATAACCTTTCCTCTACCCATTTTGAAAACCTTAACTACCCAAAACTATTTTAAAGTATTCTGACAGCTGTGATTAATAAAAACAATTGTCATGGCTTTTATTTTTCACAGCCACCTATGCATTATAGACTTATTTTGCATTGAAATGAAAATAGGTTGATATGCTGTAATTGCAACATGTGTTATTTTCATGCTGCAAATTTGATTAGGGAGTGATAAAGTTGGTGTTTTCTACTATATATTATCAAAATATTCATTGTTAATATTTTAAACCTATAACACCCTGCTACATTTTTATTATTTGTGTTTGATAAGAAAAAAGAGAGATTTCAATAGTTGGGCCAACTGAAGTGGGAAGGGGCTCATATATGCTGAAACTGGGTACATTAAAATAATATTCTAAAATGTGCTTTTATTCTAAATGAATTAGTTTTTTTTTTGAAAATAGTTACTGGTCTTTTGGATGTTGTTTTTGGACTTTGATTAAATACCAGTGTTCCATCAGAGGCATCAATTTGCACTGTGTTAGAGATAATTTTACAATATGGAACATATTGATATGTCTGATGAGCTTTATGTATTTTATGATATTATTTTGAATTTTTAACTATATTAATACATGAAATAGATTGAATAATTCAGCTGAAATTATCTTGCTAAAGCATTGTATCATAAAATATTACTATGTTGTCACACATTAGATCTTTGAATGAAGTTTTCCATATTGCTGCCACACAGATCTTGACTTGAAGATGTCTTTGCCTAACAACCTGAATTTAACTTTTACTATTCAAATAAATAGTATCACTAATTTTCTATTGTTTCCTTTGCATGCTTTGCATTCTCCTCACCACTTCCATTCTTAAACCCTCATTATCTGAATCCAATGATATAAGCTGAAAAATCCTCAATACTCATAGTTAGCTTCTCTGTCTTGAAGCTGAGGAGCAGCAAGCTGTCTGCATATCTCATACAATTGTCACCCTTCAGAAGTATCTTTATATCTGCCATCTTTATGTTATCCCCCTCTCTTGAACCCCCATTAATGCATCCATGCTATCTCTTTCATTTCTGTCTTCTTTTTTGCCTATCAAACTAGCAGTTCAAAATTGAATCAAAAAATTCTTTGTAGTTTTAAATGGTCTTCGCTGAACAAGGAGACAGATGTTTTCCATAATATCTTTTCTGCACAACAAAGGTCCTACTTTCTTCTCTGTTGCACAAACCTATATACACCTATCACTATCACCTTGTTAAAAGGGGAATCAACAAATGTGAAAAATATACAGGGTGTCCCATTCTCTGGGTACTGTATGTTTATTTGTTTTATTTCAGACTAATTGTATTTTACAAATAAACATGAATATTATTATTACCATGTATAAACTATAAAAAAACTGGAAAAATAAGTAGATATGGGAGATAATATGTGACATCATACAATTTTTCTGACAAAAACTTCACTTTTTATCTAGCTATAACAGTTGTGGATAGTTTTAAATGACTTTATTGTTTTTCGAAGTATTCTCCATCAAGATTAATACACATCTGCATGCTCTCAAACCAATTTTCAAAGCAATTATTCCACTCGTTTGCTGGCAGATCCAAAACGGCATTTTTGAAAGGGCTAACTGCTTCTTCTGGTGACTGGAACCTTTGACCATGCAGTCTATTTTCAATTTTCTGGAAAGTAAAGAAATCGTTAGGACTTAGATCAGGACTATATGGAGGATGGTCCAATAATTTCAATTCAATGTTTTCTTCCGTTAAATACTGCCTTGTTTTTTGGGCTGTGTGTGAGCTTGCATTGTCTTGGTGGAGGATGATTCTTCTTTCGTGGTTGATTTTTCGAGGCTCGGTGATAACTTTTAGCAAACAAATGATGGTATACCAATCCACAGTAACAGTTCTTTGCTCATTAAGAGGAATTGTTGCACTATGACCCGCTTTTGACACAAATGTCGCGACCATCTTTATCGAAGCACTTCTAGAACGGATGACTTTTGTTGGCTTTTCTTCACCTTGGAACACCCAAACAGCCGACTGTCGTTTATTTTTTGGTTCATAACAGTAAATCCACGATTCATCACCACTAACAATGCTGTACACATTTTTTGAGTTTCCGGAATGGTAACGGTCAAGCGTTTTTTGACACCAATTAACCCTGCTTTCTGGTCTTTGAGATCCTCAAGGATGCCTCAATCTCGCGATATGTCACATGTCTATCTTCAATGATGAGTTTGCGCACAGCATCGACGTTTTCCTGGGTGACTGCCGTTTTTTGTGCACCCACCCTGGAATCGTCGCCAAGACTCACCCGTCCACGTTTGAATTCTCCATACCAACGGGAAATTGTCGACTGATGTGGCGTGTCGTTGCCGAAAACAGACAGTAACTCAGCAAGGCATTCTTGTTGCGATGATTGTCTCTGAAAGTTGTAATAAATTATGGCTCAAAAATTTTCTCTAAGATTCAGTACTGACGTTCGATCCGAGCGACCTACTATGTTTCTATATGCAAAACTTAAAAGACATCCCTCGTATTGTGTAACCACATAGTTATGAGTCACCCTGTAAAGATAAAAATATTTATTAATTCAGGAACACACTGTTGGTTACAATTTTTGTATTTAACTTTTTTTAGATACAATGCATAATAGAATTACCGATCGAGCCTATACTAAAAAATTACCTTGATTACATTTTGAGACCCAACTGCTTACTGATAACATCCTTACTTTTACAACTACCTTTCCTAACTTCCCTCATCACGGGTTCTCCAATCCTCCTTCATAATTCCATAAACATGTTTTCCATTCTGCTCTCATTATCTTGTATTTATGTCCACATGACTTTTTCCTACTCATACGTTCTCGGACTTTCTCGTTTATGTGATACCATTTCAACTGACTTACTCCAAATAATTACATTTTGATCATCAGTATTCATTCCCATATATAAACAGTACTTTTTTCTGTACATCAGATTTTATCTTTCTTTCAAGTGCTCCATCTTCCTCGCAATTTATTCTTCTGACACGCTGGCTAACATCGTCTGAGCTAAGCTATTGAAGGAAGCTTATACAGTGCACTCCACCCACAGCATATGGTAACACCTCATAAGGAATAATTCTGCCTTGCCATTTTTGTCAGTGCTTCGCCAGGTTGCATTCCTAGGATTGTACCCTCTACATCCTCATCTATCAAGGACATTCACCAACTACCTCATCATTAACATTTCTTTCTCCAGGCACCATTAGTCACTCCATCAAAGTACTTCAAACCTTTTTTGATCATTCCACAATCAAATCGATCTTTATATGACGTTAACCAGATATTATTTACAAACTGGGCATTATGACATTAGCTCTTAGACTCATCATATTCCACTTTTCTTCAGAATGACAAAATAATACCGAATGTTTCAAATTCGATCTCTGAAACGGTAAGAGATACGAAGGCGATTAAATGGGAGCAAAGTTGTGCATTCAGATAACTAGCAAAATGCCGCTTGGAAAGTTTCGGAATTCAAAGTACTTCCGGAGAGAGACGAAACAAAGCCGGATTTTCCCAAAATCGTTTTAATATTTTCCTGACTTTAATTCTAGTGGAATTTCAAAACAAATTGCACATTAACATTGCCTCTTTTTCTCCTCTACAAGATGTCATAATTAGAATTTCAATAGAATGTTTCGTCTCCTGTTCTCCAGCATCAACTTCATTTTTTATTACAGATGCCATATTGAGGTTGATAAACCTTAGTTATTCCAAAAAAGCAGAATTTTAGGTAGGCTTGAAATTATCAGATACGAGGGATGTCTTTTAAGTTTTGCATATAGAAACATTGTAGGCCGCGCGGATCGAACGTCAGTACTGAATCTTAACCTCACTCTTTATTAAACTTAAATTCAAAGTTTCACAACAATACGTGCAGTGTTCTGACTACAGTGAATTTTTAAAGTGTTACCAAGTCAATAGAAAAATGGAACTCAACCGAGAACATTTTCGCGCCATAATTTATAACAACTTTCAGAGACAATAATCGCAACAAGAATGCTTTGCTGAGTTACTGTCTGTTATCGGTAACGAAGCGCCACATCAGTCGACAATTTCCCGTTGGTATGGAGAATTCAAACGTGGACGGGTGAGTCTTAGCGACGATCACAAAAAACGGCAGTCACCCAGGAAAAAGTCGATGCTGTGCGCAAACTCATCATTGAAGATAGTCATGTGACATATCGCGAGATTGAGGCGTCCTTGAAGATCTCAAAGACCTCAATTCAAAAAATTTTACTTGAAGAATTAGGAGTAAGAAAATTAGTTTCTCGTTGGACACCCGACCTGTTGACTGAGAGCAGAAAGCAGCTAGGGTTAATTGGTGTCAAAAAACGCTTGACCGTTTCAATTCCAGAAACTCAAAAAATGTGTACAGCATTGTTAGTGGTGATGAATCGTGGATTTACTGTTATGAAACAGAAAATAAACGACAGTCGGCTGTTTGGGTGTTCCAAGGTGAAGAAAAGCCAACAAAAGTCATCCGTTCTCGAAGCGTTTCGAAAAAGATGGTCGCGACATTTGTGTCAAAAGCCATATTGCAATAATTCCTCTTAATGAGCAAAGAACTGCTGCTGCGTATTGGTATACCACCATTTGTTTGCCAAAAGTCATCACCGAGCTTCGAAAAATCAACCCCCAAAGAAGAATCATCCTCCACCAAGACAATGCAAGCTCGCACACAGCCCAAAAAACAAGGCAGTATTTAACGGAAGAAAACGTGGAATTATTGGACCATCCTCCATATAGTCCTAACGATTTCTTTACGTTCCGAAAATTAAAAACAGACTGCGTGGCCAAAGGTTCCAGTCACCAGAAGAAGCAGTTGACGCATTCAAAAAGGCCGTTTTGGATCTGCCAGCAAACGAATGGAATAAGTGCTTCGAAAATTGGTTCGAGCGCACGCAGATGTATATTAATCTTCGTGGAGAATACTTCGAAAAACGATAAGGTCATTTAAAACTACCTATCGTGTTGTTTTATTTTCATATGCAAAGACATCCCTCGTAGTCATTCGTTTCGCATATCAGATGAGAGATGTGATTTCAGAATAAATTGCAAGTTGTCATTGTTACTTCTTCTTACCATTTCCATCACCAACTTTGTTTCATCATATGGACCTTATATTGGAAATTTTTACATTTAAATGGATTTTTCAGTTCTAAATTCAGTGATGTATTTATTCCCTTAGTTGGCCATAGAACTTTATTTCGTAGTTCATACACTTACAATGCTATCCTGATTTATAACGAATTAGATGACAATATAAAGGATTGGCCAGTAAACAGATTTCGTAAGCATGTGAAGCAGATTTATTTGTCATTGTAGTAATTGTGGAAAAGTTAGTTTTTAATTCTTACATTTTATTTTATTTTACGTAATATATGTGTGTATATATGTATGCTAGGAAGCTATCAAGCTCGTTGTTTTGAAGCGTCTTTTGCTTGTCAAAGTTTCCTTTGATTGAGTGTTTCAATTTAGTATTTGGGTAGGTTAAGTAGAGTAGCCAAGAGCTAGACTTCGCCTACGTAGAGGTCACATTATGTTTTAGTGTATATAACGTGCCTAATAAAGACATTTTATTATTATTATTATTATTTGTCCTTGGATGTGAATTAAAACGAAATAAAAAGCTATGGTGAAGCCTCAACACAAATTGAAAATTTTATTGATAGTAATAACAATATTAATCATAAATAATTAAGTGACCTCATATCTCTTACCATTTCCGAGATCCCAATGGTAAGGGTCAAATTTGAAACACCCCACCATGTTCTTTCTAAAGAATCATCTTTCTTTGCAGCTAAAGAACTCTGGCACAGTAGGAGATGACGTGAAAGTATCATACATCACAGACAGCAACAGAGAATTTCCCATAGAGTCTCAAACAGACTTCCAAATTGCTCTGTATGCTTTCCGACGCAAAGCACGAATGGGTGCCATTGTAAACCTCAAATTGGACAGAATTTCTGCAGAGCAGTCCTGCATGAAAAAAGTTAGACTGTCTAATGATGTAGAGACACAGTTTGATAACAATGAAGCTGTTTCACTTGCATCCACCTGTTGCAACTTTGAGTCGCCGCCAGAGTGGTTTGTTTCCTATATGGATCAGGTGAGGAAGCAGTAATGATATGCTTTAAAAAATGGTGTCACAAGTTGACTCTCTACTATTTTTAATTTGCTTTAATTGCAATATTTCTCGATTTTTCATCTTTTCAGAATTTGCAATATACGTCAGTAAATCAGGAGTTGAGAAATTTGGTTTAACGCCCAAACAACTACATTTCTGGTACATAGTCAACCAACTTCGCAAATTTATTATTATTTTACTAAGGACAAGAACTTTGAGTATTTTTCTCTTATTTTTTGACGATAATTCTACCACCGCTGGATTGCAATTTCGTCAAAATATTCAAGGCTTACCGGATGGTAACGGATAGACTGACAGAAACCTACGGAAATAAGTGACATGCTTGAACAATACTGAATATACAATTCTCAATCGACAGCACCCAAGCCCCATCGAAATTTTTATTTCTGAATAAATTCATAAGTTGAACAGAATATACAACGTGAACCTACTTTTCGACATTTTTGTGACATTTCTAGGTTGTAAAATTACTGCACATATTTTTAACGATAAATATAATTACGTTCCAACATATTTTGTGAACTTTGATATACATGATTCATTTTGTTTTTATTGAAACTCAATTATTGAATAATGAATCAGATTATTTTCATTGTAGTTTGTTTTTTGAACTTCTTTATAGTCTTACTTAGTTGTTTGCAGCTGATTGTGACATTTCGTAGATCAAAAAATGTCTGCTATAGACACGATCGTACAATTTCTATCTGTGATCGACGAGGCCGTGAAGGTAACAATTTCTAATCTAATTTTAAACAATGACGTTAGTGAAGCTAAACAACAGTGAATCATGGCTACTTTAGATACGATATGAACCATCTAATGCTGTAGAACACTCAGCGTTTTTTGGTTCGAGAAAGACACGGATGAACTTTGAAACTATTTCTGGAAATGTAGAGTATGATTTTATTGGAATGGAAATGAGGGATGGTGGTTTGACCAGTCTGACTGATAGGCTTGGGTTGCTAAATGTTCTCCAATCAATAATTCCAAAAATTAGCATATAGCATATAAAAATATGCTTATCCCAGAATTATAGAAGGTTGAAGTAGAGTATTTTTCTCTAAAGGCAATCCGGGATTTATTTTGAGAATGCTGAATCTAAATTTTCTATCACAAGAACTAAATTGAAAACGACACAGGCGCCCTTAATCTGACTGCCAATTATTCTTAATTTTGGAGTGAATTCTGTGTAGAGTTTACTGACCTTTCTTCATTCCTGCACAATGGGCCAGATAATCTGAAAATATCATCAGCAGACTTTCCAGGTACTTAGAAAAAATAGCAATTCATATTTTCCCAGAATTTCAAAGGTTTAAAGATCATTAGGTAATCTCAAACAGGGGCTTTCTAAGTATCCCTACAGACACAACCCTTCCTTAATTGTACTATGAACTTGCAATTGGTGTTTGTGTGTTATAAGCTGCTATTTTCATATTGTATATATATATCTGACATAAAAATAATTTTGTAGACATATAAATAAAATAAGTTTGTAGTTGATTTTGAGGAAATATTTATTTTCTAATTTAAGTTTGTGTAGAGCCACAAAAATTGACACTCAAGATCACACTTTCAAACAATTTATATAACATACAGTAATGGACAAAAGTATAACATATAGAAAAATTAATATTGTGCTGTATTTCTGTGCTGTATACATAATTCGTTATAGCATAATACTCACTTATACATAAATAAATTCATTAGACTCCCTTCAATAAAAAAAATAATTGAAAAAACTAGAACTATGAAGGACAAAAATATATAGAGAAACCAAAACAATTATAGAAAAAGAAGCATAGTTCATTGAATTATAGAAAACCAACCATGTTTGTGTTAATATTTTGTAGCATAACCATTATTATCAATTACCGCCTGGCATCGTCTCGGCATAGATTGTAGAAGTTTCTTGATATAAGATTCATCAATCTGTCTCCACTTTTGCTCTAAAGCGGCAAAAAGTTCATCCTTGTTTGATTAATTTTTATCTCGTATTTGCTTATCTATGCTTTCAATGGGGTTTATATCGGGAGACTGTGAAGGCCATTTGAGAACTGGTATTTTTTCATCCAGAAAGAATTTCTTTTCGAGATTTCAAGTGTGCTTCGGGTCATTATCTTGCTGGAAGATTGATCTTAAGGGCATATTGTCTTCCATATAGGGTAACATGACATGCTTTAGTATGTCTGTGTATACAAACTTATCCATAATGCCATCTATTCTATGTAAAGGTCCTATCCCAAACCCCGAAAAGCACCCCCAAACCATAACAGACCCGCCTCCATGTTTGACCCTGGGCAAAGTGTACTTGGGGTTCAATCTTTTTCCACTAGGACGTCTAACGTAATGAACACCATCTGATCCAAACATATTGAACTTGGATTCGTCACTGAAACATACCCTCTTCCAGTCACAGATGCTCCAATCAAGATGCAATCGTGCAAATTGTAATCTGTCCTTACGGTTTTTCCTCGAGATTAGCGGCTTCTTACTCGGGCGACGTGCAAATAACTTCAAATCATTTAATCTTCTACGTATAGTTATTTGTCTTGTGGTTTTAAACGGATATTTGGACGATATTACTTTTGTGTGTTATAAGCTGCTATTTTCATATTGTATATATACATCTGACATAAAAATAATTTTGTAGACATAAATAAAATAAGTTTGTAGTTGATTTTGAGGAAATATTTATTTTCTAATTTAAGTTTGTGTAGAGCCACAAAAATTGACACTCAAGATCACACTTTCAAACAATTTATATAACATACAGTAATGGACAAAAGTATAACATATAGAAAAATTAATATTGTGCTGTATTTCTGTGCTGTATACATAATTCGTTATAGCATAATACTCACTTATACATAAATACATTCATTAGACTCCCTTCAATAAAAAAAATTAATTGAAAAAACTAGAACTATGAAGGACAAAAATATATAGAGAAACCAAAACAATTATAGAAAAAGAAGCATAGTTCATTGAATTATAGAAAACCAACCATGTTTGTGTTAATATTTTGTAGCATAACCATTATTATCAATTACCGCCTGGCATCGTCTCGGCATAGATTGTAGAAGTTTCTTGATATAAGATTCATCAATCTGTCTCCACTTTTGCTCTAAAGCGGCAAAAAGTTCATCCTTGTTTGATTAATTTTTATCTCGTATTTGCTTATCTATGCTTTCAATGGGGTTTATATCGGGAGACTGTGAAGGCCATTTGAGAACTGGTATTTTTTCATCCAGAAAGAATTTCTTTTCGAGATTTCAAGTGTGCTTCGGGTCATTATCTTGCTGGAAGATTGATCCTAAGGGCATATTGTCTTCCATATAGGGTAACATGACATGCTTTAGTATGTCTGTGTATACAAACTTATCCATAATGCCATCTATTCTATGTAAAGGTCCTATCCCAAACCCCGAAAAGCACCCCCAAACCATAACAGACCCGCCTCCATGTTTGACCCTGGGCAAAGTGTACTTGGGGTTCAATCTTTTTCCACTAGGACGTCTAACGTAATGAACACCATCTGATCCAAACATATTGAACTTGGATTCGTCACTGAAACATACCCTCTTCCAGTCACAGATGCTCCAATCAAGATGCAATCGTGCAAATTGTAATCTGTCCTTACGGTTTTTCCTCGAGATTAGCGGCTTCTTACTCGGGCGACGTGCAAATAACTTCAAATCATTTAATCTTCTACGTATAGTTATTTGTCTTGTGGTTTTAAACGGATATTTGGACGATATTACTTTTATTAATCTAACTCATCTAGCATTTAGTTTTCTAGGCCGACCACTTAGAGGCTTCCAAGATACCTTGTTGTTTATATTTGTTCAATATTGCCCAAACTGCTTTACGCTGCAGCTTCAAATTTTTGACAATGTCGACTTGACGTTGACCGTCTTTGTATAACTCAATGATCTTAGTTTTCACATCGAAAGAAATTTCTGGACCACGCGGCATAGTCTTAAAATCACTCAACTTATTCCACAATACTTGATGAACACAAACTAATCCTCTTCTGACACGAAACTGTACTAAACTAATGTTGAAAAGGATTAGTCTACATATATAAAAAGTGCTTATATTCAGACTTGTATTGTGTTCATTGCAGATAATGTAAAAACAACGAATTTAGTTTTTCTACCAATAACGCATTTGTTTATGGAGCAATGAAGTATGAATTCGTTTTCTAAAGGTATTTGGGTAAATATTCGTATTTGTCTATATACTTTTGTCCATTACTGTAGTTCCAATAGTTCATGTGCATGACTATGTATTCGGAAATCATTACTTGCTACTATTTCATTATTTCAGTTGAAAGATCTCATTTCTTGTAGATAAATTTTTTCGATTTAACCGAAGATGAAGTTAGTCTTTTAGTTATGAAGTGACGATTCCGACCTTTGTTTTAGTTTTGTCTTGAAAATTATTTTATGTTTACTTATTTAGTAGAATTTATATTTTTAAATAAAAAATGGCGTCAAGAAGATAACTCTTTGACGTCTTGTATGAAAAGGAGTCTTTAGGACGTTCAGATCCTTGCAATTACCTGGCAGGACACTACAAACACGAACAAGCCATGCTAACATTGAAAAACATTAATTTGAGATTTTGCAACGGATAGATTTTTGGAGAGACATAAAGAATGGCTGGATGTTCATTTTGTTTTTGAATACAATCGAGAAGAAATCGAACAAGAAACTGAGCCACAACCAGGAAATTCGCATGGAGAATAGTCACTGCGGTCGTCCTGCTATAGAATTTTCTGCAAGTGAAAGAACTAAACGCCGGAAGACTGCAAAACTGTCATCGGCATTTAATTAGAGGCTGCAAGAAGATGAATAAAATACCGAAAGAAAAAATAGTGTCATAAAACTTGATTCAGAAGCAATTTTGACGACTCTGACTAGAGCCAGTAAAATGAGTAAAGGTTGGCAAAGGATTCAGAATACAAAAGAAATCATTCCACCCACCCCAGCAGCTTTGTCAGTTATAATTAAAGCAAAATATACCAAACACTCGCATTTTGCTTATCGACGGACAGCAAAGGAACATTCTGCCGATATATGTCCGGCAATGTCCATCCCGAAAAAATCAAATACATGTTAAAAAGTTATTTCCTTGTTAGAGGCAGCTTGATACACGATGGAGAAGATGACGATCTCAGCGATATATACTTTTAGTTTCAATACTAAGAATAATTATCCTGCATTTAGTGATATTTAAATATTTAATATTTTGATATAACTTGTGCCGATATATGTAAACATTTTTTATATAAATATATTTGATAACGCAAAATGCTCAAAAAATCTACTCAATGCCCCCTATAAGTCACCCCTAACAGATTTATTTGTTTACTTATTTTTTCCGTGAAAAGTTTCTTATTTTATAGCCATTTTGACCATGTCCAGATGTATGGGCGCTCTTCGGATGTTCTGGCCCACTGTGCAGCGATGCAAAATTTGATAAAAAAATATGAAAGCTTTTCGTTTTCGATGTTGATATTCGTCATAAGACATAGTATTTATTTTCAGTTTAAGAAAACAATCACTGAGGAAGTAGTTGCATCAGTAACAAATATCGTTTCAAACATAAAACCTCATGCTGCAAGTCAGCCATTATGCTATCATTCACGTAAATCTAAAGGTGAAAGCTCCAAACAGAGGATCAGGAAGCTTCAACCACTTATTGGAGATGCTGGACATGAGTAAGTATAAAGCAAAGATTTTATTATATCCATTTCACATCGTCAAAGATGACAGTAATCTGACTTCAATGTCCACAGCGTTTGTATAGAATACATTATAGAGTTGAAAATATGAATAACTGTCCCTCTATTAGATACCCACCTGTGGACTCATTTTAAAGCAATGGTAAACTGATGTTTACAGTATATTCAGATAAGAGATAGACCGGATGTAAACAAAAGGTTCGGGTGATTTTCACGCTAACGCCGCCGTCTCGACGTAAAACAGGAGCCCTCATTGGTCAATTCGCAATGAAATGCCTATGCCGAGCGGCAGAGCAGTCGTATCAAGGCAGAGTCACATTCAGGTTCAGACGTGTTACGTATGTCGGGTGCATCATTGCAATTTGATATTTCTTTGGACGTTTTCGTTTGTTATCTTATTAAGTTGTTGAGTTTGTCGTTGTTATTGTTATACCTTGTTATTGATTGTTATTGTTATCAACTGCTTGCGCAAAATGCCCAGTAGTACAGATACTGCCGATAAAGTTGTAAACTCCTCTAGTCCACCTAGGAAACGCTCTAAAAAAGACACCTGAGTGCAGAAATGAAAGAGGTCATTTTGAATATATATAAGATCGAGCGCGAGGAGAACGAGGCATCAACCATCAAAGAAATTGTTGTGAAGGTTGGATAATGCGCCTTATCATTCTCGAAGAATGGAGAAGGTCCCAACAACGGCTTCAAGGAAAGTTGATGTTCAAAATTGGCTCCGCTCGAAAAATATCAACTTTGAAGAAGCAATGCTGAAAGTACAATTATTAAGAATTGTCAAGGATCACAAGGCGGAATATCAAAAATACGCCATTGACGAAATGGCAGCAAGTCAAAATAAAACTGTGCTCCGTTTACCTCCATACCACTGCGAGCTCAATCCCATTGAGCTCATATGGGCAGAGGTTAAAAATTATATAGCTAAGCACAATACAACTTTTAAATTTTGTGACCTCAAAGGACTTTTCAAAGAAGCACTAGAATTAATAACAGCACAAAAATAGGAAAACTGTATTAAGCACGTGAAAGACAAAGTTGAAAAGAGAATGTGGGAACTGGATAATATTTTAGAGGAACAAGTCGAGCCATTCATTATTGACGTTGGTGCTTCAGGCAGTAGCGATGATGAAAGCTCATCAAGCTCATCTTTCCAATAAAAGATGTCGTTCATCAAATTCGGTAAGTTATAAGTAATTATAAAGCTACTGTATTTTTTAATTAATTATTGACATTTTTGAACCCATTTTGGCAAAACCTATTCAAGAATCTACTTTCTGACAATGTTCAACCATGCACATTTTTTTACGTTTTGAACGTTTTAATTTGGTTACATATTTACCTAGAAATCAAAAAAATACTAATCAATATTCTAAAAGCAATTTTAAGAGATATACAATTATTTTTAATTTAGGCTAATTTAAACGCCATTTTGAGATTATATTCGACTGTATTTCACCAAACATCAGGCGGCATCCGAAGCTGGAAATCGAAGCGAAAATTTTGAAACCCTTATGTATATTTACATCATTCTATATTTCTTACCCCACCCCCACATGATCCTATATCCATCACCAATCGTATACACATCGAATTGTGCTAATTTACTACAAAGTTACGCAAAGCAGCATCTACTATCTAAAATATGTACTGCGTGACTCTTAATACGTCCCTGCCGAATGTTACAGCGTTCGATGATCACGTGGTCTTGTTTATGTCCGGTCTATCTCTTATCTGGATATACTGTAGTCAATAATTGTAGCAGCATAATAATTGTAGTAGCTTTAATTTTCTGCGAAATAAATATTGGTTTTACGGTTAATACACGTATTTCAGAGGAATTTACACACTTGTTTGGTTTCTTTTTCGCTTCGCCCTTCAACATGACGAGTAGAGTGGCGTGAGGCCTGCTTAGAGATATGCCTTTTCTCCGTTAGTGCAAACATTTTTACACTGAACAACCAAGAAGATACCACAGGTTCCAGGAGATATATCTACAAATTGAATTTTCAGAAACGTGCTAAATAAATTGCATTAAAGTAAGTTGCAGGGAAAGACGCAACCGAATTGGAAGGCAATTGCGAAACGCATAAATGTTGGCACTCCTTAGGGAGAATATTAAATTCTATAAAAATTATGTATGTTGCCGACACCTCCGACTATGATGAGGTATAATACTAACTATAACGCTGAATACATGGTTAATTAGGTCCGCGTCTGTTTTTATGGTTGGTATTACTGATAACTTGAATAATTCGCGTATTTCGCATAATGGAGATTAGATCTCCGCATTTATTCACCGAGCTACACCAGAAGACAGCTTTATTTAACTGATCTTTCACATTTAACACAGTTACTATGTACAACTCTATTCCGGAAAACCTAAAACCATCGTCTTTAAATAGGTTTAAATATCATTTGAAAGATCACCTCCTGCATAAATAATTATTTTTGTGTGTATGTGCTTGATGATTTAATTTCAAATTTTAATAGATTCACATAATTTGGTTAGGTGTTATATTTTTTTCTTTTATATTTGGGTGAAGAATAGCTACGAGCTAAACTTCACCCTTTTGTAATGTAATCATTATAAATAAAGACGCTTATTATTATTATTATTACTACTATTTTGTCAAAAAGTACCCCGAAGCGAATAAATTAACGGTTCCTGTATGCCGATACGATGCAATGAGATCTATTGAGAGATAAGATGGGTAGAAATTGAGAGCTCTGGTTGTAGTTTGAGTAAATGTTATTCGATTTTGAGCTTGTACGTTATAAGAGTGAGTTGCTGAAATAATATGTGTAGCTGGGTAACGATAGAGGGTTCATCTATTAGCTTATCAGGGAGAATACTGGTGAGACCGATGATGTGCCGTTAGGTACTACTGAAAACGGGGTTCTGCTAAACAGTGATTAAATCATTAAAAGTAGATAGAGGCTACAATTTAAAATACAATACATTCTGTACCGCGCTCCAATATACTAAATACGTGGTATATCAAGTCGTCTGTTTATTATTGTTGTTTCCAATAATTTGAACAATTTGCATATTTTCGGTGTGTAATATATAATAATCCGAACCACCCCGTATAGAAGTCATAGATTCGATAGCATATCGTAATATTGAGGAAATTATTTCTCATGCAACGATTACTATGGTATTTTTATGTTTCCGATATAAACATTCGAGATTAGGCCTGGCTAAAGGTCATAGCAAATAAGTTCTGCAGAATGCGCAAAGACTATATTATTTATATTATTATATTGCTCCGCTATGTGAGCTGGTTGATTTATTTCAAATATTCATGCTTCGCTGGTTATTTAATTTATTTGTATTCAACTGATCCTGTTACGCCTACGTCAATACATACCGATAATAACGTGTAAAGCATATTTTGCTCTTTTCAGTAAGATTTGTCTGGGGGACTAGTAGTTCTGATTAAAATACCACGAAATGTCGACAAATACAAATCCTTCAAGCTGTAGTTACAACAAATGAAGTGACATGTACGTCAGGACTTTGTATAAAATTCTTTAACTAGTACTGCTTTGTTGTCAATTGTATCAGGCCGCATTTATACTCCAAGGAGGCAGGTTACGGGTGGTAGACGGCAAGACGTCGTTTATACTTAGGTGGCGGGGTACAAGACGGCGATGTCGCCCGTATCTGCGGCGACAGGACACTTCGTATACTGTATTCTTTTCACGGGAAAGTTCGTAGACTCTCTGCGACATCGAGCTCTCAACTTGGGCGAATTGCCTCCTTCAACTCATTCAGAGTTCGAGACTTGTGCTTGCATACGAGCTTTAAGGTGTCCTCTTACGGAAAAATGGTAGTTGGATAAATCGGGGGACTGAAGAGTTCAATGAACATCGCCAATCCTGGAAATAAGGCGACCACGGGAGAGAGGGCGAATAACGTCCATCGATGCTGTGGCTGTGTGGGTGGTAGCCCCATCCTGTTGGAACCACACACGTTGGAACATGTCGTCGTCGTAATACAGGTGAAAAGAAGTTGGTGATTATTTCGACATAGCGCTCCGAGTTCACGGTAACAGCATTGCCATTACCGTCTTCGAAGAAGTGAGGGCCGGTAATGCAAGTTTGCGATACAGCGCTCCAAACCGCCACTTTTGGGGTGAGCAGCTGTCTTTCATGTAACTGTCGTGGATTTTCATTAGCCCAATAACGGCAACTCTGCTGGTTAGTCATGCCATTAAGATGAAAGTGAGCTTCACGCATGAACAAAAAGAGGTTCTCATTTTGCTCGCTAAGTGCTTCCATCTCATGTACGAAGTTCATTCGTTGTGCGTAATCTCCAGCTGTAACTGTTGCACAATGACCAATTTGTAGGGGTGAAAGTGGATATGCAAAATATGCGTTACAGAACGATCACTGAGGCGAAGTTCAGCAGCATGTTGCCGAGCACATCGCGCCAAACTGCGAAGAAGGGCTTGTCGAACGCATTTCACGTTTTCAGGGGTTCGACCGTTCGAGGAGCTCTTGGTGGTCTTTTGTTGATCAGTACACCACGTGTGTGAAGTGATTGAACCCACTGCTCCATAATGTCTACTGGTAAGAATGCTAGGAACGCCCGAGTTGAGCGGCACTCTCCGCACAACGCTAGCCATTTCAAAAACAGCCGTCCTTTGTGCCGGACCCTGTATATTCCATTCGCTCTCTTTTCGGTCTTCAACTCGTAGCCGACATCGAAAAAAAATATAAACACATTGTCACCCATCACCTGAAGCATGCCGCCTGCCACTTCACTTGAGGCTTGACTGCTCTGAGAACAACCTCGGCCTTTTATGGTCACACTCAAAATATAGGTGGACGTAATTCAAAATTTCGGAAGTAATAGTACTTTAATGTGTTATAGATTTTACTTTCGACATGTTACAAGTATAATGAATAATACAGAGAATTTACAATTTATATTAAGACAATTCCCATTATGAAGCGTGTGTTTATGAAGGTTCTTTTTCAGTGCCAAAGACCTAGTGAAATCTTTAAAACTAGAAGGCAAGGTGGAACGTAAACTGAAGAAACTAGAGCACGAAGCAAAGAAAAAGGAAAAGAAGTTGGCTAAACTCTTGAAATCAAGTGACAGCGATGTTGGTGGCCAAAGTAGCGGAGGCCGCAGTCGTGGAGAAAGGGACGATGATGACTCTTCAGTTTTACAAATGGACGCAGCTCCTGTTAAGGTAAGTTGCTTTCTATTGCATGATTTTAAAACATGTGTCCTTGACCATTTTTAGACTGAGGATTTCTGAAAGTAATCTGAGTCATCAAAATTTTTCTTTATGCCGCCAGCGTCTCGTGCAACCAGTCGCGGGATGTAAATCAAAGCGTATATTACAGTATAACATCACTTATTAAATATAGGTGAAACGTGACTCCATGGGATTATTTTAACACATAAAAAAGCGATATCACGCGGCGAAAATTCATCTCGGTTAATAAAAAATGGCGTCAAGTAGGTTGATGCTGCTCTCCCCATGCAACGCCCGTCAGTTCATAAAGGACTCTGTTCCACACAAGTTAAATCCTATGAAAAAAGAAGGTACATAGCTACGAAAATGTCTGACAGAAATTAAACATCAAGTCAATTAAACAGGCCCACTCAATTATTCCATAGACATCTGGCAACATCGCCTTTCCCCGATACCTGATGACTCAACGCGGCAACATGGCAGTAAGGCCAGAACATTTGCTAAGGCCGGTATGCTCGTCGATGATTCCAGACAGCAGAAGCAGTGACGCGCATCGAAATCATTTCCTTATCATTGTTTTAAGGAAAAATGTGCTGTGAAATCTATGATGTGTGAAATGTCTAGTAGTTCCGTAGAACTGCCGAGGTTGGGAGTTTATAAACATACTGAAATTAAACAAATTGTTAAAATTTATTATAAGCGGTAATAAGACCGACAGACAGAAGTGACATGGTTTTTCGTGATGTGTTCTCTTAGCTCCGCCGCTACGGGGCAGATATTCGAAAACTATTTCATCAAAATCCGACCGGTATTTTCCTAGTTATAGACGGGCCAAGGATTAGCTAACAGACAGACTGACACAGACCGACGGAAATAAATGACATGGTTTTTCGTGTTGATCAATTCATATAACATCAAAAAAACATAATATCCCGTTTTTGAGATTCTTCGCGATTACATTACTTTATCGCCAGTTGGCGTGGGTAGTGAAAGGCAGATCTGGATCAGCTCAACGCAAACAAACCAACTACAGTCTTCAACATACGTGCGCACAGTTTGAGCAAATATATATGGTTCTTTGAGAGAAACAGTACTTGTAACCATTTATCAAAGTATTCAGCAAGCAATTGAATATGTTAATCAGTGATGTGACAGACACCGACATTGGGTCATTAAAAGCACTGAATTCGGCTCTAGGCGGCCTGGTCCAACCCTTCATCGTCAATTATCTTTTAGATTTTGATAGAACTTTCAACATAAAAATGTTTATTTTCAGACGCAAACTTCTATACCACACATGCTAGGCGGAGAAATATATCTGCACCAGTGGCAGGTCAAAAATACTGGAAAGTTGTGTTGGACATCCAAAGTAAGATTTCTATTATTTTTGATGAGAATTAAAACTGATGTGTTCCTCATATTTTAGACTGTTTTGATGTTCACTTGGGGGTCAAGAGCACTAAAGCCTTTGGAATCTGTTGTGTCTGTACCGTACCTTCAACCAGGCGAAATTGGACTGATTTCAGTCAGACTTCAAATACCTAGTAAGTGTTTTTCATGCGTATATCTGTTCAGGGTAAAGTTAAAGTTGTTTTTTCTAGACAAATGCTTTCCCAGTTTTGATTTCGGTAGCTTGTAATGTTGTGCGCAAACAGGTAACGAAATCTCTCGAGCGCCACTTGCAAATAGTTTGTCAAAGCTATGATTTGTAGGTGGAGCTCGTCAGATTTCTTCACCTATTTGCGCATAAAAAACCCAGTTTTTTATAAGATTATACCCGCTTACTAGGTTCTAGTTTAGCTATTTCCAAGACTAGACCTATACCATACTGATCAGTGTAAAAAGTACGAAACAGCGCTGTCTGCTGCTGGTCATGGTTACAGAGACGGAAAGCAAACATTTCCAGTTCAGCCAGCAACTTATAATTTTAGAAAATAGTTTTTATTTTCAGGCGATTTTTCAGCAAATAATTGAATGGTACATTGTTTTAAAACCTAGGAATGTTGTTAACATAAATTTTCTTTATATTACTCGCACAGAGAAATGTACATAGCTTTTCATAAGGCCCCCTATCACCGCTACTTATTCTTTAAACTGGGAAAGTCAGCAAGCTGAAAATCAGGATAATGAAATTAATACTTGTACTCTGTTTTAGCGTAAAAGTGGATTTGAAAATGGCGCCATTTTCAACACTTTTTTTTAAATGGAATGGGGGTTCATGTGATACCTCATTTAGAAGTCCCGTATCAGTTCTGTATAACCCTAGAGTTTAAATGCACTGTCTCCTGAAATGGCGGACTGTCGGACTGAAGTTGAGCATTTTTTACATACAGTAGCGGAAAAAGTTTGAAAACATTCTTAGTAATTTTTAAAAAGTGAGCGGATTTTTGTTCTTTATTATTAAGGACTATTTTTTTCTCATATAGTTTGCTTACAATATTGAGGATACAAATGACAATTTGTGTTTGCTGTGATACTACATACTAGCATCAAAACACCTTCATATTATTTTATGACCGAAAACGAGACGACAAAAGTATGGAAACATATTTTTTATTACAAAATTAAATACAATAACTCTACAAAAAGATTTAAAAAATACTGTTTAGCTAATATTTAGTAGCATAGCCTTTAGCATTCAACACTTCCTGACATCTGCTGCACATAGAAGGCACCAATACAGACATCTGTTGGGATATTTTGCCAAATATTTTTTACGTAATCAAATAAATCGTTCCTGTTTTTAAAAGTTTTTCTTGTCAGTTTTCTTTTAACATGCTCTCAGAGGGAGCAAAAGGGAGCATGTGTTCACTAAGAATATGTTTGTAAAGTTTTTGATCCATTTTCCCAACAATTTTAACAATTGGACCCGTTCCAGAACTAGAAAAACAGCCCCAAATCATGACGTTGCCTCCACCATGCTTAACTGTTGGCAACTTGATACTTTTTGTCGAATCTTTTTTGTATTGAACGTCTCACATATATGCCGTACCGTGAGATCCAAATAAGTTAAATTTGCTTTCATCGCTCCATAAAACTGTATTCCATTGTTGTTCTTTCCAAGTTAGATAAGTTTTAGCAAATTCAAGCAATTCGAGCAAAGCGTTTTTTTTAAATGGGAGGCTTTTGCACTGGACGCCTACCAAAAAGCACAAAATCCACCAAGCGTCTCTGCACTGTTCTGACAGAAAGATTCTCGGCGCCCTATTCTACGATTCTTTTGAAAATCTGTGTAGCTGGCATTCGAGGATCTTCATGGGACAAACGTTTAATGTAGCGATCCAAAACATAATCGGTTTTTTTCGGTCTTCCGGACCTGGGCCGCGTTACTGTTGATCCGTATTGATATTTACTAATAATGTTCGAAATCGTACCTTTGTTCATTTTTAATCTTTGAGAAATGTCAACATTTCTGGCACTACTTCTAAATAATTCAATTACCTTGTCTCTTAAATCTTTTGAAAATCCTTTTTCTTTTGCCATTCTCACTAATGTTAATATTTACCGCACGCAATATCAGAGTATCGCAGAACGAATAAATACGGCAAAACTGAAATTCTTCCATACTTTTGTCGTTACGAAACCTGTGGTATTTAAAAAAACGCGTGTTTTATTTTCAGAGAATTTTAATATTGATCAGATAAACCTTGTATTAGTATAGGAACCAAAATTAGATTGTAATATTTATATTATCTGTTCCTTCAAAATTTTAATTTAGGTATATGAAATAGTTCATAATAATGTTAATATTTCATTCCAAACTTTTGTCCGCTATTGTAGATTCGCTCAAAAAATAATCATCAAAACCCCATGGTATGTTATGTCTGTCTTCTTCTTCAAGAAAGGATTATCTGGATGTCTAATAAAACGTGGAATATTCCATTTAAAAAAGAGAGATTTTGACATTTTTTAAAGAAACATTCAGATCTTAGAGAAGAGTATTAATATAATTTACTCATAGCAGTTTGCTGTCAGTTTATAGTACAAAAATGCTTGACTTTGACAGCCTTCCCGTCCGTCTTTTTGAAAAACAGTAATTTAATATTTTCTATTATTATATGTAACATGGCACCCCATCCGTCATGTTGAAATTTTCAACTGCCACTTTTATGTCTAAATATATCTCTCATTAAAACCATCACCCCAAATTTGAAACGTACTATTATGACGGATGTTAATGATTACTTGCAGATGAACCAGGCCAATACGAATGTTATTGGCACTTCCACCATAAAGAACGTCGTTTTGGTCACTGGCTGGGATGTCAAGTTATTGTAGATCCTTTCGACAAGAAGGGTCATAAATCTGTTTTAGATACATCACCTCCAATTCCCTCTTTCAATACCGCTCCGCAGAAGTTTGAAGAGGACTATAACTTAGATCAAGTCATGAACCAGTATTCTGAAATCATTCAAGGTAAGGATCGATTGTTTCATTATATTCCAAAAAAATTACTGGAACCTGTCAGAAAAAAAATAAGGGATCTTATCTCCATGAAACAGACACCTAGTTTTGAGTATAATCGCATTCTAGAAAAGAGTCTCGAAAAAAGACTTAGGGTTTCTCAGGGGCAAAATGATGGAGACCTTGACCACCAACTTCAAGGTCAAGTGATTACTTTCAACACCGGACCGGAATTGGAAATAGGAGGAAATTTTATGACAGGATGTCACCTTGATCAGGACCAAATCAAGTTACTGAAAACAATTTGCTCTAGCAAAAATATTCTACGGCACAAGATGAAATTAAATTTTTCAAAGAAAACACCTCATTTTAATATTGGAATTGGACGAAGCGGGACATTTGACCTTGACCTCAGACATTTTTAAGATAAAGTGAGATAATATTGTGAAATGCAAAAAATTCCTCAAAAATTACGGTTTTCCTTTGAAAATTTTGACTTGACCTTGAAGGTCATGGTCAAAGTCACCTTCATAACCTTCACAAACCTCATAGCTTGCTATAGTAAATCGTGTTCCATGTCTTGATTTGACCTTCAAATGGTCTTGAAGGTCATGGCCATAAAATTTCCTCCTATGTTCAATCCCGATCTAAACAATGGCGTCAAGTAAGTTAACTCCGTACTTCCCACGCCACGCTGTCATCAGTTTGTCAAGGATTATGTTTGGCAAAAGTTGGCCCTTGTAAAAAAAGTTAGCTACGAACATGTATAACAAAAAATTAAATGACCTTCCTCCTCCACCTTAGAGGAATTGCTGCATAATCGTTGTGATGGCCAATTTCGCGTGAATGACGATATTGGCCTTCACCATGCTTAGTGCACACCGTCCACAGTGGTGCGGAAGCGATTGCTGACTGTGATGTACTACACCCGACGACGAGACATGTCCATCGGGCGACGACGTCGCATGTATCGACACATTTTTGTTTTAAGGGTAAATGTACGGGGACATCTATGATGAGTGAAATATGCCCAATATGTGCGTAGAATTACTGGGGTTGGGGGCGTATTTATATAACAATCATAATTTAGATATACTAACCTGAGAACTCCTAACCCCTAATTTTCAACCCCTACAAAAATGTTTCCGAAGCTTATCAGAATCATCTAAAACGCGAAAAAAAGTTGTTTTGTTTTTCTGCCTTCTTCTCCGCCACCACTGGGCCGATTTTCAAAAACTACAAAGCTTTTGCGTCCTTGGTATATTGTATAAAAATATTGTCGAAATCCGAGCGGTACTTCTCAAGTTATAGGGGCTTATAAAATTAGCGGACAGTCAGACAAACCGACGGCAATAATACATAAAAACATAATATTTTATGAAATGCGAAAGGCTTTCGCGGCCATCATTCAATGTTATTTGGTTGGTTTTTGGGTAGTCAGGCCGTCGTAAAATATTTTTACTTGACGTTTCGCCATACGAGACGTTGGCATCTTCAGATGTTCACAGTAGCTCACAGGACTCCGAACTGTGAACATCTTCTGAAGATGCCAGCCACTATTGTTGGCGAAACGTCAAATACAAATATTTTACGACAGCCTGACTTCCCAAAACCAACCAAATAACATATTTTAATTTTTAAAATTTTTGCGATATCAATACTCTCCCCCAGGAGGCGTGGGAAGTGAAATGGGGTTCCATTTGAATATATTCACTTGCAATGTCGTTGATGCTTGTGGTTATGGTTGAAGTCACCTTTATTTTGTGACCTTCAAAGTGACGTCTGTTTTATTACTTCTAAGGGAATTACTAGGATCAACATGGTTGTTTCAACAGAAGCTGTATGTGAACGTTCAAATACAGCGCAGTGGTCGCCATCTTCTTAGAGAAAACCTTAACTAATGCGAGTGTTATTGGATTTTTTGTCACTGGCTCGGTGCTGCCCATTAAACGGTGTGTAAAACAAACAACGGAGATTCGAGTCACGCACTCCTTATGTTATTCAGGTTGTGTAAGGTTATTCATTTTTTCTCAGGACCTTCAACAAGTGAGCCTGTCAATAATTATACGTTCAACGTGAATTCGGAATACAACAATATTAAGAACGAACCAGAAGAAGACGTTTGTGACATTGGCTTAGACAAACAGACATACGACAAACTTGTAAGGGATATCGGCTCCAGGGTTGATGACATCAAGCTGCAAGATCCCACTGATACGAACTGCAGCAGCGATTCCGACAACCAGAGCGTCATTTCTCTGTCGGATAGCAACGACTCCAAAGATTTGAAAGAAGATTATGTTATGGTGCCGATACCAGACTGCTTCAAGGTTTGTTTTTAGTTGCACAATTCCTTATGTCAACATTTCGACGTTAGGATAAAACTATCGTAGGGAATACTGTCCATCTGCTTTCGATCGGACTTGGGGAATTAAAATAGGGAAAATAATATACTATTTTTTTTTTGTTTACGAGTATATAGTAGCAGCGGTACTTCCCACGCATTCATATAAAGATTATATATCTGTCTACAATACGATGCTTTATTAGTGATAAGTGAAGTATGAGACGCGCCTGAATTCAAAATGTTGAGCCCCCTAAAATGTTTTGGCTACACCTTAGTGGCCAGAAAGTTGAAAACATCGAAAATATAGATTTCGAATTTGAATTTTCTTTAATATGTCCAAAAATGATCGGGATCTTAAAAAAAATCAAAAACAAAATCGCTCTAAATTTGTCAGTTTACCGCTGCCACCGGAGTAATTTCCAAAATCTGTGAAGCTATTTCGGCCTCGGCATCTTGTGTCAAAATCCGTTTAGTATTTTTCGAACTAGAGACTATAGAGGAGCCAAGGATTACTGGACAGATGACACACGGACATAAATGAGTGGCACAGTTTTTCGTTATGACATGTAATAACAACAATTCTCGTTTGCAAAATGTTTCGCGATTTTACAATACTTCCTCATTAACTGCATGGGGAGCAAAGCTCTAGAGAGGTTAAAAAATCTTGTACAAGTTACATAATAATTCCATTTCTAGCGATTGTATGCAAAGTATTGGCGTAAACTTTCTATACAATCTCGCATTTGTATAATATTGCCTGCTTTTCCAATGTGGTTTCTTCATTTTTAAGGTCGATACTCCTACTAGTGAATTTAAAGAAGAAAATGTTGCTGGAAATTCTAAACAAGAAGACGCAAGAGCTAGCGAAGGAAATACTTCACCGAATTGTGATGATAATAACAATGGAGCAGACATTGACCTCAATTTTCCAGAGCCTTCAAAGAAAGCCGAATCTGTATCTGATACAAAATCTGTATCTGATAGTATTAAATCTGACATTGTGGTGGTAACATTGTCAAATGATGACATACAAGATGAAGGTAAGGGTGGCAACCGTTATTTACCTAACAAGTGCGGAAAGTGAAGCTGTCAAGCGGGGAAAATACACTTTCCGCGAGTGTTAGGTATAAGATTTTTTCTACCATCGTGCGGAAAGTACTCACTTGGAACACGCATCTGCATGCAGAAAGTGGCACTTTTATGCGTGTTCGCACGCTGGTAGAAAAGCATCATGTTGTTATATCTTTATCTCTATTCTTTGATATAATTATTCTGCAAAATTAACAAATCTTTATTTTATTCGTTCTGTTTTGAAAGCTCAAAATCCAGTTCTATGGCATATCATATGATCAGTAATAACACAGGCCCACAAATTAAGAAAATTGGTCTCCTTATATCTTTCCCATGTACTTTTTCTCGCTGAACACGAATCTAAAGTCATAATTGGGGGTCGATAGACAAATTTTAGAAAAAACTATAAAAATCGTATCACACGGCCACAGAAAAACAAAAAGCGGTATGTACTGCCGGTCTCACTATATTTTCCCATGTATTTTTCCCGCTGAACACGAGTCTGAAGTCAACATTTGGGATCGATGGACAAATATGAATGTTATTTAGACATCATAATAACAAATTTTGCATCTATCTGTAAGAGATCTCTGAAGAGATGCATAGCCACCAAGAATACAAAACTCTGTGATCTTAATGCCTAAATTACTTACTTGTCCAGCAACCCCCAATAGGAAATATGCATGTTTTTGTATTTTATGGGCTAAACAAGTATCCAGACATCAAGAACGTATCGCGTTTAATACCATATGTAGTGTGGGATTCTAGGGACCAAAATATTAGGTCTATTGATTTACCAAAACTCATTAACTGCAGAATGGCACCTTCAGTTCTTGCAACATGAAGACGGCTTGAATAATTTACGTTTGGCACAGGTTAATAGCTGTTGGTTTCAACAAAAGGCGTGTATGTAATATGCATCTATCAGTAATCATATAATCTTACATCAAGCATTTGTTGGCAATGCCCACTTAAACAAAATAACAAATAAAAAAACACAATTTTCTTTATAAATGTAATATGTAATACATACTTTTTTCGGACCATATACAAAAATAAAGTTTCTCAAAAACGAAACTTCGGGCACATAATTTACAAAGCACCATCATATAGTGCCTAAAGGTGCCAATGAAAAAGCTCCATTAGTTTTTGATGTTTCTTAAAACAAAGTCGGAAAAAATAAAAACGATTTGGCCAAATTTCAGTTTTTCCCAAATACCTCAGTAAGTCATGAAATGTTATAAGTTTCTCAACAGCATGTAAATTCGCCCCAAATAACGCAGCTTTTTCCTAATTTAACCTAAGCTGTATCTCCCACCGGTATTGAGATCCCTCATGCATAGGATCCTAATCTTGGACACCCTGTAGACTGCAAATAAAAGTAAATAACCGATATTTGAATCACATGCCTATGTGTAGATGGAAAAAATATTGTGAGACCCTCGGCACACACCACTTTACCACTTTTTCATCTTGTGAGCCTGTGTAATTCGCAAACTAAGAATTATATACAGTAATGGACAAGTATATGTATATAGACAAATATGAATATTTACCTAAATACCTTTAGAAAACGAATAAATACTTCATTGCTCCATAAACAAATGCGTAGAAAAACTAAATTCTTTTCAACATTAGTTTAGTACAGTTTCATGTCAGAAGAGGATTAGTTTGTGTTCATCAAGTATTGTGGAATAAGTTGAGTGATTTTAAGACCATGCCTCTTGGTCCAGAAATTTCTTTCGATGTGAAAACTAAGATCATTGAGTTATACAAAGATGGTCAACATCAAGTAGACATTCCCAAAAATTTGAAGCTGAAGCGTAAAGCAGTTTGGGCAATACTGAACAAATATAAACAAAAAGGTCTTGGAAGCCTCTAAGAGAAGTGGTCAGCCTAGAAAACTAAATGCTAGATCAGTTAGATTAATAAAAGTAATTTCGTCCAAAGATCCGTTTAAAACCACAAGACAAATAAAAGCCGAAATCGAGACAAAAGGAATTGTCAGTGTTTCTACAAAAGCTATAAGTAGAAGATTAAATTATTTGAAGTTATTTGCACGTCGCCCGAGTAAGAAGCCGCTAATCTCGAGGAAAAACCGTAAGGACCGATTAGAATTTGTACGGTTGCATCTTGATTGGAGCATCTGTGACTGGAAAAGGGTATGTTTCAGTGACGAATCCAAGTTCAATATGTTTGGATCAGATGGTGTTCATTACGTTAGACGTCCTAGTGGACCCACTGTCAAACATGGAGGCGGGTCTGTTATGGTTTGGGGATGCTTTTCGGGGTTTAAGATGGGACCTTTACATAGAGTAGATGGCATTATGGATAAGTTTGTATACACAGACATACTAAAGCATGTCATGCTACCCTATATGGAAGACAATATGCCCTTAAGATCAATCTTCCAGCAAGACAATGACCCGAAGCATAGTTCAAATCTCGCAAAGAAATTCTTTCTGTATGAAAAAATACCAGTTCTCAAATTGCCTTCACAGTCTCACGAGATAAACCCCATTGAAAATCTATGGGAATACTTAGATAAGCAAATACGAGATAAAAATTATTCAAATAAGGATGAACTTTTTGCCGCTTTAGAGCAAAAGTGGAGACAGATTGATGAGAAACTTTTACAATCTATGCCGAGACGATGCCAGGCGGTGATTGATAATAATGGTTATGCTACAAAATATTAACACAAACATGGTTGGTTTTCTATAATTCAATGAACTTTGCTTCTTTTATCTATAATTGTTTTGCTCTGTCTATATATTTTTGTCCTTCATAATTCCAGTTTTTTTCAATTAATTTTTTATTGAAGAGAGTCTAATGAATTTATTTATGTATACGTGAGTATTATGCTATAACGAATTATGTATACAGGTTGGTGTAATAATAAAACAAGTTAAAAAAGAAATACAGCACAATATTAATTTGTCTATATACTTTTGTCCATTACTGTATGTAAAATTAATGTCTTTTCAGATTTTGTATATGTGATCGTCGACAACCAGAAACTGGCTCTGCCTAGAAAAATGATAAAATCAGAATATTTGAAGAATGCGAAAGAGATTCCACGATCTCACTGCGACATTTTAACTCGTACCAATAGTGCCACTTCCTCTATTGAGACTGTCTGCAAAGATGAAAAGTCTGATAGGCATGTGCAAACCGCGCCTTCGACATCACAGGTATGTTATTTATCCTCCTGAGGTTCACGTAATCTTAAAATCCAATGCCTAAAAAGCATTTAGATTTCCCCTAGTCTCTCGACCTTATGTACAAGTTATTTCATTTTTTTCAGGCCACTGAAGTTAACTTCAACATCCAAAAAACCGAAGTTGCTGGAAATTCAGAAAACGCCCAGGTGGAAGCTGATTTTCAGGAGTGTCAGGAGTTCAGCTCTCATTGTTCTGCAGCTGGTACTTGCTTCTCTGAGGCTAGTGCGGAAAGGAACTCCAGGCTGTTTATCTTTCCTCAAACTTGTCCCGGATACGAAGCTATCTACCCTGTTGGCGATTTAAAGGAGGTGGATGGAGCCGCCATTGCACCGGAGTATACCTGGGCTACGTCTGGTAAGGAAGAGACATCTCATTATGCAGGTATTAATACATTCCAGAAATGCGGATGAATCTTGTGACTTACATAAAAAACTCAGATTTCGTTCATGCTATGGTCAGAAAGGCAACTCGGGCAGTGTTAGTGGCCATCACGATCCTTTATTCAAGTTGTCATCTTATATATATATTATAAAATGGGTGGGATCTCAGAAGCGGTAGGAGATGTATAATTGTTTAAACAGGGGCAACGTTGCGTATTTGAGTATTCCGAGTATTTACGAATATAGACGAAAGTAGCCGATTTTTCCCAAAATCATTTTTATTTTTCCTGACTTTGAGATGGGAATTCAAAATAAAGAGTACATTAAAGTTACCATTTTTTTTTCGTCTAGATGATGGCATAATTAGAATTTCAATATGACATTTCGTCTCTTCTCCTCAATCATAAACTTTATTTTTTCTTACAGAACGCCATATTGGGTTTTTGCATAGGTAAATAGAGTTTTTAATTTTGATTTGAAAAATGGATAATGGACAATACATCGATATTACTAAATCTTAGCTATTAAAAAACAGAATTCCCTTAGAAGGTCTTGAAATTAACAAAAGGCGTGTGTTTCACAATTTGAAATGTCATCAGCCAAGGTCTGTAAATTAAGTGATGAGACTGATTTTTTTATTCAAATATAATTGCAATTTTATGTTGTCACCCTCAAAGTAACTTCCTTCTGAAGCCACACAGTGCTGGAGACCATTCTTCCACTCCTGATAGCAGTGCTTGAACTCCAATACTGGAATAGCCTTCAGCTGCTCGGTTACAGCTGTTTGAATGTTTTCGACTGTGTCAAAATGAGTTCCCTTGAAGGTGATTTTTTAACTTAAGGAAGAGAAAAAAGTCATAAGGACTCAACTCAGGCGAATAAGGAGACTCAGGAGCCACAGTAATGTTTTTACTGGCCAAAAACTCGTTTATTGACATTGCTGTGTGACAAAAAGCATTATCGTGATGACGGTGGTGTCAGTCAAATTTAACTCTTCTCCGATCATTCTGACTCAACCGACGATCTCAACGCACAAGATCCCGGATTCTATCTATATTTTCATCGGTTCTTGAACATGAAGGCCTTCCGCTTTGTAGTCCATCTTCAATCGTCTCCCTCCCGCCTGAAAATGTCTGCTGAAGATTAGAAAGAGCTTCCGTTGCTCTGTGCTCAATCCTGAAGCAAAACCTGAAAGCACACTGATGCTAGAGATTGATGTCCCTCATGTTTAGTACAATAGAAAAAACTGCTTCACAAAAAAAATATGTACGTACAACCAAATGACTCAAGCGAATTCAAACTAGTACTGAAGGCGGATCACATGTTCCCCTCCGAGCCCGGCGCCTCCAGTGTCGCCATATCGAACGCTACGTTGCCAGTCTTATCACTTAATTTACAGACAGTCTTATTTCCGGGTTTAGCAGCTTCTTAAACACACTTTATATCTGCCATATCTGAACTGATGCACACATCTTCATTCAACTACTATTAATCTACGACTGATGTGTCATGTAGAAAAAGTGGCAAAGGTTGCATTTTCTTAGTTACCTAAATGTACAACGTTGCTCCCATTTAATCGACTTCGAATCTCTTACCATTTCTGAGATCCAAATGGTGCGAGTCGGATTTGAAACACCCGATATATAATCCATGTTAGCCATGTAGCAATGATTTTCGAACGGTTTGCAGCCATCAAATTCGCTTGATCAAACGATATGTCAACCGTCAAAGGTGTCAACCATCAGAAATTTGTTGCCAGAGCACACGTATAAATAAAACTGTACAAGAATTAAAAAAACAACAAAATAAAAAAAAACAGATGCAATGTACAGAAAAGGAATAGAAAATATATAGATACAAAATGGAACTATACTTAAAAGCACTTATCTAAAATACTTATTAAGAAGCATTTTCTTTTTTGTACTTGTATATGTCTTTAATCTCAAACAGAGGGAAGTGCTCTCCAAAATCAGACTTCCTGTGACAATTTACTTCAAAATTTGTTATGAGCGGAGGAAATTATGCATTTCTCCGGAAAAGATGAGATGTGGGTGTATTTCATTATTATTATGCTAGATTCCACAAACTGTATAAAAATGAGATCAATAAACAACGCACATCCAGTGCTAAAGTTCAAAAAAAAATTTTTTTATATTTCTTTTCATTTGTTTACAAATATGATGCTTTTGCACCTAATGGCCTGGGGTGGTAAACGTAATTGACAATGCCTTTACTTCTGACATATACTCGAGCGACTTTGACGGTTTTCAAGCGCATCGTTGCTGCATTTTTTCAAATGACGTAACAACTTACTATTATCAGGAAATAGCACAATCTGACTTCTTCTAGCAACATCTTATGCATACACCACACCACCGGTAACCACCGAACAACCTTCAGCGCCCAACGAACACACTCCAAACTATCAACAGACTCCACCAGAAGAAAGACCAAAACCGCCAAGCTTCAATACCGCACCTACATCCCCAACTGCAGGCTCCAGAGCTGGATCTGAAAATGCATCTACTACAAATGCCACTCCAGCTGATAAAAGGGTGATTATTCTCTTTGTCTTTAGTTGGTTTTGATTGTATCTTGTATTGAGACGGATCAAAGACTATGATTATGTGCATTGGAACAGAGCGCGTTTACATGTTGGATGGTGCGGGAAAAACATTACTGACCTTTCAGTTGACGATGACGTGAATATAAAAACGCTTTTAACTTGAATATGAAAATGAAAACCAATTAGCTTATGCAATTTTTGATATTTAACCATTGTTGTTCTGTTAGCGTAAAATTTATTTCAGTTTATTTATTTCTATTTAAGATGATTCTCATAGCTTTATTTTGTAATATTTGTAATTTTGAAAATACAGTTTGGTTTGCAGAGAACGTAATAGTCGAACAATATAAAATATTTTTCAGGCTGGTGTAGATAGAAGAGACTCAAAGGGTAGCACAAGCAGCCGCAACACTCCACCACTGCATATCTTGCCAGAAATGTTGGTAACTGGTACTCTGAATGCTGCCTCTTCAGCTATCAGTACTGCTCGGTCAGTGATCAACAGAGTTCTGCCCACTGAGGTTAGTATCTAAGCATGAGTAGGTAAGATGTATAGTAGAATCTTTTCAGTTTTTGGTTTTATTTATTGTTTCGCTTTGATACTTTCACATAGCAAATACACCGTCCACGCAATAACCCCGCTAAAGACCACAAATCATTTTTTACAGTTACATATTGTGGAAATGTTTTTTAGTTAGCTTATGATGCGTTTCTTAGTTTTAACTTACCAAATATCACCTTAGTTGAAGCTCTCTTCCATTCACTACTTTTAGATGCTGGTAGCTCATAGATTAGCAAGCACATTTTCAAATGTTTGGTTCATTTTGCCAAACGTTTTTAATGTGATTGCACAGTCCAATTTCAATATTTGAAGTCCAGCTATCGCTGCTTAAACTATGATAGTATTCGCTTGTATGTGGTGCGTCCCAATAGTAGTGAAATATCGTTTTCGTGTCACCCCTGAAAGATGCACTATGTTTAGACTCAGTCACAAAATATCCAAATATTTGTTAAGTCACTTAAGTTATGGACACCTTCGGCTACATATCGTACTCATGCGCGGTTGCAACACATCTCTCAAATCGAAGGTGATCCATATGATATCAACCTCAAATTAGGTTTCTGCTGCACCACTACAATTTGGTAAAAACTCAGATAAGGTACATCTCATAACAGTCTATCTATAGTAACTTTTTAGGGGAATTACGTTAGCAACTACAACAGAATTGGTTGGCTTGGTTATATGTCAATATCTGTCACATTTTGTCACAATTTTGCGGTGTATTTTACTAATGGTGATATATCATTTTCAAACACGGATGGCAATTTAGTTCAATGTAATCGCTCCTTCTATTTTTGCTTATTTCTTGTAAATCCTGGAGCTAATTTGCATTGAATTAAATGAGCGATCATTTGTGTTCGTCATCTATTCAGTACGAAGTGAAGATGTGTGATGAAAATGACCTATTGACGTACTATCGGACATCGACTACTGTTATAGGTTATAGTTAGCCTCAATATGTACGGAGCTGGTTTCGGATGAGGCAAGATCTTTGGAAAACTGCCCTGTTATCATAACTCTTGGAATATTCTTTTGTATTGCGGATTTGGCAAGGAATCCCATATTCAGCCGATTTATTTCGTCAACTTGAGCAATGTTTGCGTTAGTTATATCCATATTTCACATATTCAAACGTTTTAAATTTTAACTTGATATACTCGGCCGTCAAGTTGTTACATAAAACCAAGGTACATTTTATGTAAAAAAACCACTGAAGGCAGAAGAAATTTTCAACTTAGGTCAACTGTCTATTTAGGTTCCACTCAAGTTTTAAGTCCACCTGGTGCAACAAAAATATTGAAATTGAGGATCAGATCAGCTTAAGGTTGACCTCATTGGCAAGATTTTGCCACAGGGCATCACAGTCTAATGGATCTAGAAAGAGAAGCGCTTCAATATCACATAAAAATCACAAACAAGTAATTTTATTCGCGGTTTCGGAACAATTCTAGGCAGTTTAGCCAAATTCAAACTTGAATTGAAGTAGGTGTGCAATTCTAATTTTTGGTGCTGATCAATCAGCAGTCCCACTAAAATATATTGATTGTAGATCTAACATCCTACACGTTATACTGAGTGTTACATCTCAATTTTGCTAAGTTCCAAGTTATATTTTCTTCCGGACTTGTGCGATACAAAGGGTAATATAAAAGTTTTGCAATTTAATGACTTCGTTCAAAGTAATTTCCACCACATTCAATACATCCGCCAAAACCAGCTTTGACAAGTTTCACCCGGGAGTGCGGCACACTCGTTGACCCAAGCCCTCAGAAGGTCCTAATCACTAGAAACCCGTTTTCCTTTTAGCTTCATTTTCAAATGCGGATACAGTACATACAGTCGCAGGAAGCAAGATCTGGACTGTAAGGAAGGGGCTCAATAAATTTCAGTCCAGTAGTGGTCAAATACTCGATGCAGGCTTTGGCGCGGCGAGCTGGAGCGTTGTCATGGTGGAGGTACCGAGAGTCCATTCTTGACTTTGACTGCAGGGTTTCGTAGACTCTATGACTTTAGACAGGTACTGTTCCGTGTCCACTTAGCAGTGACTGTCTTCTGTGTGTCCAAAACGACACGCTCCACAATCCCACTCGATTTGAAAAATGCAGCTGTCATTTTTTTCTTAACAGACGGGATTTTCTAACAGCTACTTGTGTGTCCTCATCATCAAAGACCCAAACTTTGTTTGAGCTTTGGTCGACACATCGTAATAATGGAGCCAAGTCTCGTCACCTGACACAATCCTGTTCACGTACCGAGATCGTCCCTTATCAAACATTTTCCGCACCTTTCGACACCAAGTCGTACGACGAGTCTTCTGCTCTTCCGACTGCGGTACTCAGAAAGAACAAAGTTTCCTTACGTGTAAATGGTCTTGCAGAATTGAATGAATTACTGGTGCATGAAGGTGTCAGGACTCCTCTAACTGTTGGTATGTCACTCTCCGGTCTTCGTCAAGCATTTTCCTCACAGCAGTAATGGTTTTCCTCTGTTACTGATGTTCGCGGTCTTCCTTTCCTCTCAGCGTCCTCCAGAGTGAAATTGCTCCTTTGAGATTCTCTGTACCACCTGAATATAGTCGTACCATGAAGACAATCATTCTTTAATCCAAGCGTCATTTCTTCTAGACTTTGGTCTATGCTTAACACGTTCACCACGACGTGGTACATCGCTTATCTTGCCAAAAATCGTCACTGGTCACCGGTGGTACACTTTCAATTGATTATTTCACGAGCTACCAATCCTTACGGCTTATAGTATGGAACTGAATATTCGACAGACGGCTCTAAAGATAGTAAGTACACATTAGTGCGCCACCGGTGCCGCATTTGACTATAATTGTGAATTGTATATGAAATTTAATTAGAGGTATAACAATCCATGATATTCATAAGATTTTATTTCTAAAACACACTGTAACAACCATATGAAGTAACTGAACTGAGTAAGGGGTTAAAATAATTAGTGAAACATAACGCAAAAATATTTTTTCTAACAATGGGAGTAAGCGCTTATGTATTGAGGTATAACTTTTCTTATGAATTTCATTAAAACATTGAAGACATAGTGTCGGTTGTTCTGGACAATTTTCCTAAAATGTAGAGACAGGCTTGGCTTTATTTCCTCTTTGACACCGCTTGTGTTCTGAACTTTTCATTTCCCTCAGTGGCCACTGGTGGTACACTAAGGCTATAGTGAAAAAAAGAATCATCAAAGCCGTCGTGTACCACCGATGGTACATATTGAAACAGGTATTCAAAACTCAAAATAATACTCACACATTTTCTAGAAATTATATTACAGATAATGTATATTTGCACTAAAAAAACGAAAAAAACAACGGCTACAGTCGTGTTTTACTCCATGCATTGCCGTCGTGAACGTGTTAAACCACGCGTAAAGTTATACTGTAAAACTCCCCTTGTCTCACTACGTGTCCACGATGCCTTAGTCCGCACTTTACTCTGTCAATACGCATGAACAACTAAATCAACAGACGTGCTGCTGGCGGCTACTATGCACTCATAGACATGCCTCAACATGCAGCCTCCTGCGACAGTTTGTTAAGTCATATTGCAAAACTTGTATGTACCCTTTGTACTAGTGGTCCAAGCAGCCGTTGTACGTACACACAGCGAAACGATCTAGACAAATGAATGAACAATAAATATATTTCACGAATTTGCGGAACGCCACGTATCATATCCGCTTCGCTTGTTATTGTAGCCAATCGTCCACCAACCTCAACCATCCGCATCTCTGCCTAACGAACCACCTTCCCAACAGCGCCCCGGCTACTGGTTGAATGGGCATTGGGTATCGACCGATCCTAACGCTACGAGAGAGGCCAACCTGCAAGCCTTGACGGAAATGGGCTTCTGGAACAGGGACCTGAACGCCACCCTGTTGGCCAGATATGAAGACGACCTGTCCAGGGTGGTAGCCGAATTGGTGCAATAAGCGCAACGGGAGTAGTCAATCGGCGAGAAAGCATGATTAGTAGATATTTATTACAGGGTATTTATTAGGTGTAGGTGCATCTGAATACTTTGAAAACTATAATAGAAACTTTTGTTGGCCTTGAAGTTGTAGGAGACTACTTGATACGGCTGGATCTTGATGTTTTTTCTGTTACTTAAAGCGCATGCTATTTTTGGCTAATAGAGAGATATTATTGATTTGATTGATTCACATTCAAAATGAATCTTGAATGTTGTGCTTAAATCCAACATACTACAATTTTTGCTTAAAACCATGGTTATTGTGATTTGCCGTTGAAATCTACCTTTTTAGCTAACCTAACATACGACAATCATCGCTTAAAATCATGGTCATTGTTATTTTACTGCGAGGTCTCCAGACTCCTTTAATGGGATGCGACATTAACCTCAAATGTATTTTCCACTAATTTCATGGCCGACAAGACTTCTGTTCGTAACAAAGCATGGCAGTAAAATAACTGCAATGGTCAAAGTGGTGATTCAAACTATGGTCAACGACAAATTATCTGAGAACTCACCTACAACTTCTGTATTCTAAGATTTTTGTAGAATCAATGTTTTTCAAATTGTTTTGCTGTAACTGCACCTTTCGTATACCGTGTATAATTAAATAATGCAACTTAAATATAATTAACATTATTTTATGAAGCTTCAACACCCTAATAAATAAAATATCTATAATCTTATCAAATTAACTATCGTATTTCTGGACGAGTAACTGGTCTCGTCGAATCTTTTTTTTTTCATATTCCAGCTGACTGACCCAGATAGTTTATCTTGCTTCACTGTTATATAAATGTAGTTTCATAGAATTTATATTGAGTGATACTACTGCTTAGATAAATTCTGTGTAGTTTCGCTGTTTGTTCGAGTTAAATTCTCTACATTAAATATAATCAATATATTTTTCAAAATCTCCCAATGCAAAATGAGTGAATCTTGATTGAGACTGTCATATTTTGAAGGTATCTTCGCGTGAATATTATTCAAATGGTATTTTGCAACAGATGAGTCTGAATTACTCTTGATACTTAAGAAGAAATTTCTGCACTAGACTTTTATTTGTTTGTGACCTTCTTTTATGTTTTAAAAAATTCTAGATATGTTGCAGCTGGCTGCAATAAATTATAAAAACGGTGTTTTGTGGGTAAATTCTATCTCATAAACGGTCTAATCAAGAAAATAGAAAGGTCCATATTGGATTGACTATGGTTTTAAATTTGAGCTGTACTGCATTCTATTCAAAGGGTAACTTGCACAAGCAAACATATTACTTAACAAAAAATACAGGGTGTCCCAACCGTTGCTCCTAAACGAATATTTTTCACAGAAAGTAATTATGGTTTATTATATATGGTATCTGAAGTCATATTTCTAAAAAATTCACAATCATACAGGGTGTCCCAATTTTGACCCACATATCAAAGTTGATTTTTGTTAACAAGATTGTTGTAACATACTTATGGGTTTTGGTTATTCGTTATTGAATTAATGAGTATTTTATATAAAAAAGAATCAAAGTGTAACAACCTGCATATCTGCTACGTTGACAGGTGGAGTTGTAAATTGAACATATTCTGTAGTAGTACATATAGTTTAAATTTTGGCCATGTTTACTTATAGACAACAAAAAATTAATTTCAACTACCTTATAATAAAAAAAAGCTCATTTAAATGGGGATGTGCAATAGTAATGATGCAGATATGCAGGCTCTCAAACTTTGATATTTTTTATATAAAATACCCATTAACTACTAATAACCAAAACGTAAGTATGTTATATCAATCTTGTTCTTTTAACTGGCCTATACGAATGTGTAAAAAAAGGACATTCCATTTGAGATAAATCGATTTTGATATTTGGGCCAAAATTGAGACACCCTGTATAATTGTGAATATTTTAGAAATATGCTTCCAGTTACCATATATAATAATCCATAAATAGTTTTAACCAAAAACTTTTTGTTTAGGAGTGCTCAAATTGTTAGGACACCCTGTACAAATTTGGTTAGTTCCTACAAAAATTTATATTGAAATATTTCATTTGTTATATACCGAAGTAATGTGACTGGGTTCGGCTCTTTTAATGCTGCGGAAGCTATAAGATTGCAACGGATTGTTCCAACACTTTTCATATTTGCATGTATTGTTAAAACCGTGGAAACTTCAAAATCGACTTTTAATCTTTGATGGGCCAATATCCTCATTTTATACGCGTGTGATGATAATCGGTGATGGAAATTTTTATTTTTTGTATTCTAAAGTATAAAGATTATAAGCATATTAACATTTATTTTTAGTTTTAACTCTTGATTAAGGTTATTATATCTATAGTGGGATTAATATAGTGATATATAATCATAGTTCCATGTATTCTTATTTGTGATATGTCTATTGTTCGTTTAAAGTTCCAATAAAATTCGTAAAATGACAAGTTTTTTTTACTGCTCCTTGGTTGTTGACCAGATAAATTTGGACAATTTACTTGTAGATGACAGACACATCTACAGTAGCATAGTGTTATCCAACATTCTCACATTCTTGAGGTAGCGCTGATCTCTTTTTTTTTAACTTCTTTACATTCATTTACAAGCCGAGTCTTGTCTCCCTGGGGTTGTCAAAGTATTGATGCAATGTGTTTGAAAACACAATCGATATGAATTTTAAATAATGCTGTTTTTGTCCGAGAGGAAGAAGCATAATGTCACGTTCTAAGTACCAGCATGATAAGACAAAAACGTCTAAATCAACAATTATTTATTATGTACAGTTTTTACAAAATGCATTTGGATAGTTACCTAAAATTATATATAAATTAAGGATACATGTATAACTTGGGGGAATAAAGGGACTAATTAAGTATAACGGGACGATGAATATTGATGTCGATAGTTTTGGATACAATTTTGCTTTCAAAAAATGCTGGACCTAATTTTTTTTAATGATCAGGTTATTCCAGTAGCGAATAAGTATGACTTTATTGGTACAAAAGGTATCCATAGAGAGAAAAAGAGATACTATTGTAACTTTGTATAATACCAAGGTTTTTTTTACAAAGTTACTTTATGATCTTAATCGTCCAAGTCTTACTGTATTTGACAGTTATTTTTATATTTTCATTATTAAGATACAAATATGCTAACGCTCAAAATCATATAACCTACGAAGTTATATTTTGTACATTTATGCTCTTATCAGTATTAACCTTTTCGGCATTTATAAATTCCTCGATGCTAGATAAATTTTTCTCAAAATCCAACAATGAAGGGCTCAAGGACGAATTCTCGGTCGTTGGGTCTGGTTCTTTCGTCACATTTTCTTGAGTAAATTTTTCTAAAATCTTTAGCAGACTCGAATGTTCCACCTAAAAACAGAGTAGCTAGTTTCAAATGAACCATTTCACTGTTACCTTTTTTGTTCACTTCTCAGCTGTTTCAAAATACGAGATCTGTAAATTAAGTGATGAGACGTAGCATTCGATCTGGCGATTCTTTTTGTGAAACAGTTTTTCCTATTGTGTTCTAAAAATGAACTGCAGCAAGTCTCCTTGTCACACAGCAATGTCAGTAAACGAGTTTTTGGCCAGGAAAAACATTTCTGTGGATCCTCAGCCTCCTTATTTGCTTCAGTTCTTGTGACTTTTTTCTCTTCCTGAAGTTGAAAAATCATCACAAGGGCTGCTACGAGGAGTTTTATAACCGTCTCCAGCGCTGAGTGACTTCAGAAGGAAGTTATTTTGACGGTGACAATATAAAGTTGTAATTATATTTGAATAAAAAAATTAAAAAAAAATCAGTCTCATCACTCAATTGACAGACCTCGTACATACAGTGCTTTTCAAAAAGATCTCTCCCCTACTTATTTTTAAACGGATCAAGTTAGCAAACTGAAATTTGGGCTGATGGAATTCATGCATGAATGCTATATTTTAGCGTAAAAGTGAAAGTTGAAAATTTCAATATGGCGGTGGGGAGCCAACGTGGCATATTTTTTCTTCTTCAGTGGGGTATCTTGTGACACTTCATTTTGGAGCTCCTTCTGAGTACTTTATAACCCTAGAGTATAAAATCAGTCTCTTCCAGAATGGCGGAATGGCAGGCTATCAAATATGTCCTATATTTGATACAGGGTGTTTCAGAACTATGGGATCAAACTTGTATGGGTTATCCAGTGTAACAGTAGAAAACATTTGAGTATAGGGACCCATATCCGGAAAAGTGTCACTACGGCACTACAGCACTAAGACGCGTTAAAATTTAGAAAGACGATGAATTGCCTAAATAGGATTTAATGCATTTAATTTTTGCCTTTTGTACATGATATCATCACAACAATGTTCAAAATGTCCTCCAACCTGAATACACCGTTCCTGTGGGGAGATGTAAAGTCTTTGCTTCACGAAACTCCAGTATAAACAGAGCAAGACTTAATTGGACGAATTACAGCAGCATTTGAAATCATTCAAAACGAGTATCAAATTTTTAGTCAAGTCCGCCGAAATCATGTGCGACGTTTAAATCGGTGTATTCAGGTTGGAGGAAGACATTTGGACAATTGTTGTGATGATATCATGTACAAAAGGCAAAAATTAAATGCATTAAATCCTATTTAGGCAATTCATCCTCTTTCTAAATTTAACGCGTCTTAGGGCCGTAGTGACCCTCCGGATATGGCTCCCTATACTCAAATGTTTTCTCCTGTTACACTGAATAACCCCTAGAAGTTTGATTCCATAGTATAGTTCTGAAACACCCTGTATTATTGCACGTTTAGATGAACGCTTCCGAAAGAGGCATATTGAGATGGCATATGGCGTTTTGATTATTTGTTGAGATATGAACGATACAATGTACAAGTTCACCATTTTGAAAGATAGTGAATTTATACTCTAGAGTTATAAAGTACTGATAAGGAGTTACAAAATGAAGCGCCACAAGACCTCCTTGTTTCACTTGAGAAAACCTTTCAGTATGGCGGCGATTTTTACGTTCATAAATTAATTCCATCCTCCCAAAATTCAGAACAGAAAAAAGGGAGGCTTTTTGAAGAGCACTTTATATTAATACACTTAAAATAATGATTGTGACTCTTGATATTGATGGAGGGAACCTAACTGCAAGATGTATGATCTTTTTTACGAGTATCCATTATGTTTTGACGTCTACTTAGGCGAACAGGGCTGCGTTCGTAAATTATTACAGAGTGTACTTTGTACTACTCTGTAACAATTTTAGCGTTCGTAATAGTTCGAGGTACCTGTTACATGTGTTCGGAAATGGATCAAATTAATCCTTTCGGAACGTCAACAGTGTGCTCAAAACCTTGGGAATAAGGATTCTGTCACTTGTCAGTCTAATGGTTAATTGTTTGTTTATTCTATTTGGTTATCAAAAACGGCTCAAAATTGGCAGAATATATATTTTTCATGATAAGTGCTACCTCGTATCCCTAGGGTCTCTCACAGTAACTACAATGGTAGCAGAAAACGTGATTAGAAATTAGTCGGCTGTCATCAAGTCTCATTTACAGGCACTAACTAATACGATGTTATTGTACCAGTTGCATGTACTGTAATCGCGAATTCCATCTATTATTTGGCCTTATGACCTTATCTCTATCTATTTATATTTTTTTTTTGTAGTTATTTACTTGCCCATTTATACAGTATAAATGTAGAATGTACTCTTATATACTGATTGTAATGTATGTATGTATATCTGTCTGATGTCTATTATCAATCTATTCTTTTGCAAATTATCTATTTATATTCATGCCTACGGAAGGGTTGAAAAATGTCTATCTAGCGTTGACAGTTCGGTCAGGTTGTCGATATGTAATATTTTGAAGTGTTACTAGGCAATCAGCTGTTATTTGCTGACATGTTTAACGTAATGGTTACTCGTGAAAAAGACTTATTATTGTTTTAACATATTCACCCCATGCACATGTATTACAAGCTTGAAGTATTTAACACATCCCCTGAGAATTGAACGTACCTGTCCATTTTCGTTTGCCGCATAAGCATGTGAAAACATGGTTTCCTCTTTCTCTACAACTTTTTCTTTCTGTTTAGCTGAAGGTGATAGGGGAGGTTCGAAAACAAGTTTTCTCTGAGATTCTTTCACAAGTGTTGGAGATGCTTGTAAAGATTTTTTCTTGGTCGCTGTAACTGTAGATTCTGTTCTTTTTTCCTATAACAACAGTGAAGAAAAGTTAACGACCAGGAAATATGATGATAGGAAATGAGAGCTGTAAACAGGATTTAGGATTTGACTGTTTGAATACTCACATCCAAGCGAGGCTCCAGGGGGTCATGACTCCCTCTGGACGAATCTAGTTTGACCACTAATATTTATGACTGATAAATTTAATAAAATACAGACTTTTTGCAAATATGTAATGGACACAAATGAGTAAAAAATTCACCACTCCTGGCAACCCTGATCAATTTGTAAGCGCATGATGGCCTGGAAATCTGGTTGCCTATATGTTAATCATGACCAAATATAAGTAAAATAGTGATCCTACGTTTTGCGGCTTGGTAGTACTGCTTGTCCGTTAGTTCATTATTGGAAATTGAGCCTCATGTGTCCTGTGATTGAGGTAACCTTTCGCGCGGGCGTTTAACGCTGTGAGCAAATTTAATGAAAATACTTTTTGACGGGTAAAATCGGAGAAAAGCGGTTTCATTTGATTGGAAGGAAATCATAAGTATTATGGTAAGCATCATAGTTATCCTCTCAATTTGCGAAACACCTTTTGATTCCGGAGAAACAGGCCCCTGAAGGAGACGTCGTTGGAAATAGGTTTTCTTAAATAATTATCACATATCGTCGCTTAAGTTTTAACATCGCTTAACTGAAAAAATGCCGCCATCAAAATATGGAATTCAAAGATCCGCTTTTTTTTGCTCTTTTAAAAATGTGTGAGTTTTGAGTTGCGCTGTGTTAAAACTTAGGTGACGATATAATCCAACAAAAACTATTAACTCATTTAGTTCACCAGAGACGGACTAGCCATAACCGCAATATATCGATAATTTTGTTACACCTTTTTTTAATAATGCCCTTAAAATAATATTTTTGGAAATTGGAACATGCCTCGATAGTGTTGACTTACATCAAGTAAGTTGCTTTCAAGAAATTTATTCATGCTTGATTTCGATAATATTACGTGGTTGCGGGCCTCGATGACAGAAGATCGTCTAACTGGACTGGCACTTTTATATGTGTGTCTATAAAGATGTACATGTCGATATGGAAGAAGTCATAAATCGGTTTGCAGGAAGACAAAAAAAAGAATTAATTTTGTTATTTAGCAATAAAAACTTTCCTTTTAAATTAGATTTATTGTTTAAATCACGTTTAAGCTACACCGTATGAGTACACCGGTAGGGCCACTGACATCCCTCAAACTTATGTTAAGACGAGAAATGTGAATATGTTTTCTGCCGGTTTGTACCAAATAAGAAACTTACCGGAGATTTTGGTTTCGAATCAACTACATCGTCTTTCACTATCAAGTCTTCAATTCCCGCCATAACTTCTTGACTGTTCCTTTGACTTTTCCTAGGTCTTGGTAAACTAGCATCTTTTGGGTTGTAATGTTCAATTAACCCCAAATCCCAGTCTTCAAGGCCACCGAACGAGTCGTCACTATCTCCATCTGTTTTGTGGTGGACCTAAAGACAAAAGTATGTATATAAAAGTTATTACAATATAATGTTTATTCGTACTAACCCCTCTGTTTTTTGGTGGATGTTGTGCTTTTTTCAAATGTTGAGGTAGAAGAGAACTTATGCTTCGGCATCGTGTGATATAAGAGTCCAGTTTCCCCGTAGATCCAGATCTGGACTTCTTAGGCGTGCTTGTTAGCACGTCGGACGGATATGAAGTTCGCTTTTCTTTGGTTGACTTGGACAATGTTGGATCTGCAATTAGACAGTAATTAATTTTCTACAGCCCAGAGTCCAAATGGCAGCCTGGTTCACAAGAGTGAACCCCTGAAATATTAGAGGAAAGGCCTAAAATATGACCACCATTTTGTTATGGATTAAAAAAATATGATACAAATACTCAGCGGGTATGCTTGACTCAAGTACTCCTCTTTGGAAAGTGGTGAAGTAGCTCAGAAACGTAGCTCCACGGTCCTGGGGGCATGAATGAATGAATGAATCTTGAATTTTAGAGGCATCCCGGCCACCATAAGGAGCCGGTGCATAGGCCTGGGGGCATAGTCTTCAGGACAGATGACAAGGTCGAGGTTTTAGCTGATGCTATGGAACGACAGTTCTCTCCCAACTATGATTTTGATAATGATCTCGACGCGGAGCAACAAATTGCAAGATCCGTCAGGAGATATTTTAGGGCCAACGGTGTCAGTGATCCCGGTGCCGCCATTAGTGATTCTTCCTCAGAAGATTCTTTTTCGGAAGATGCATCAGCTGAAGAGTTGCACAGCTCATCAGCGGCTTCTCCCGAGATCCCGCATTGCACATCATATTAAAGACCTCAAGGTGCGTAAAGCGAGTGGGGAGGATCAAATCACTAATAAGGCACTGAAGTTGCTTTCACGGAAGTCCTTGACTTATCTCGTGGCTATTATCAATGCAATGCTAAGGACCCAGTACTTTCCATCGACGTGGAAGCTTGCGGAAGTTATAATGATTCCAAATAAACATATTTAATAAAAATATTATTTTACAAATATTTATTAAATATGTTCAAGAAAACAAATATTTAACTAAGATAAAAATATTGTTAAATATTGAATAAATATTTAATGAATATTTCGTGCTATCGGGGGGAGCGTCGTCCTGAGTCGAAATGGCTTTCACCTGGCACGCAGGCAGTGATAATTTGTATTGCGTAAAGTTATTTGTCACATTTTCAGACCGCAAAATACATGTAACAATAACTCAGGATGTGTTGATTTTATCGCCTTTGATGGAAATCAAGGTTAATTCTAAAAGAAATTAAAACACTGAGTTGCATCAAAATTGAAAAAAATAATTCCAATCAAAATGAAAACAAAATATTAAATCAAATGTTCCAACAAACATCCTTCTTGGGTTTGGCAGTAACCTAACCTATTGCAGAAGCCTGTGCGAGCATTTTCTGGTGTATATTGGCAGATTGCATGACCTGCGTCACCGTCGCTAGGCAATGTGATGATGACCTTCGCTGTTCTCTTTCTAACATGTGTTGATTCACACTACTCGCACTTCTCTCCCGTACACATTGAACTCAAGCCATAAGACAAATTTGGTTTTCCCTGTATATGCTTCTGATTTGAAATAGTTTTGTGAACAGATATCAAGTAATTCAGCAAATGACTCTTATCATTATAAAGCAGCGGTTTTGATGCATAGCATAGTTATACGAAAAATACCTACTTACCTTTGTCAATGTCATCAAAATGAGCTACAGTGAATTTCAACTCGTCATAATTTGGAAGCGACATCACAGATAAGTTTTTCCGCCTCTTCTTCTCGACATCAGACTTGTTCTCACTTTTCTTATTCTCTTCAATTTTGTTTGTGTTTATTTTGTCATCATTTTTCTCTTCATGGTTGTGATGATGATGATGATTCCTGTTATGAGTGGATTCGTCTTCATCACAGATTGGACATTTGTAGGAGATATTTTTCTTCACGAACAGTGGCTCTTCTACTGGTTTTTTAGTCTGGAATCAGAATATCCTGTACTATTAGAAGTTCTAAAACTGCTACCAGCTATATATTGATTGATATGTAGTACTAATTTACTGCTATTTTTTAGTTTCGACACCCACTGGCAAGAAAATATTGTAATGAGGAATTTCGAAAATGAGGTATGTCATTTATTTCCGTCGATCTATCTGCCTGACGGCTTGGATTTTGATGAAATTTTCGCAAAAGGACGAAACAGCTTTATCGGTTTTGGAAATCTTCGAAACACTTTTTGACGTTTCAGAAACTCATGATAATTTTTGGAATTCCTTTGAAGGGTAAAAAAGTGGGGGTGGTGGTTTCATTAAGCGAGGGAGAGTGTATCCCATTTTTTGGCTTTGGATTATTTATATGCTTCTAGTCCCGGTAATTCCATGCAGTTATTAGACGTATTTCAGACATTCCATGTAAAATTAACCCTTAAGACTTGGAATGGAAGGAGTGTTTTTAATGCCCGGGTCAACCGTAACGGTGATAGAAAATAAACATGTTGCGAACTGGCCGCTGCCGCTGGCGTGGTAGCGATTATGTAATACATGTATCGAATGTAAGTGATATATAATAACTGTCTTTCTACCGGAATTCGCTTGAAGATGGTAATGACAGATGCTGCTGGTGACCAATGCTTAGCTAAGAATATTCGCTGCGGTGTGAATCGGCATTGTATGAAACTATATAAGATCTACAGCGCTGGAGGCTGTAGCAATAAAATCTTTTATGAACTATTCTCATTGTTGCAAGGGAAGTATAGAGTGAATCTACTTGATGCCATTTGTTATACAGGGTGTTAATAAGGGGCCTGGAATGCAGCACCCCAGATGATGTAAGCAGTACTTCAAGTCTGAAGAAATTATGAATACCGCAAGTCTGCCTACCTGAAATGCTTGAAGTCCACTTTTGGCCACAGCCTCAATCTTTTCTCTGAAATTCTTCTTATGTTTCCTTGGCGGTGGTACTGGGGTCGTTATACTATCCCTACTGAATATTGATGTTAGCTTTGGGTTCCTCAAGTGTACGTGTTGTTCCTCTTTATTGTCAGGTACTGTTAGATCCACATTCGTCCAGTCGGAAGACCTCGATATCGGTTTCGATTTGATTATGTTCTCTTTTTCGGGACGATTCATTGTTGTTATACTGAAAAATAAACACAAAATCGTCAATCGCACATTATGAAGCCATTACAGAATTGTTTTATTCCTTTTGAAGCTCTTACGCTCCGGTTTTTGACAAAATGAGTAAGGTTTTAAAGTGGTCGGGCATCTTTCTTACAGTATTACCTTATAATGAGGGCAACACGAAATACAGAGAAAAATTTATGCATGAGGATTTGAAAAGGTACATCCAAAAAGATTTTTTTGTTCATTAGTCCGCCGCTGTTACAGCGAATTTCAGAAACTGTTACTACCTTCTATGACCTCACAACATATGCTTTTCAGTTTTTACTACCTGCAAAATAATGAACTTCTGTATTTCTCACAACTAATAAAGGAATCTACCGTTTTACTTTGAACATGTGTTTGGAACAAACAAAACTAAAAACAAAAGCGCCATGTGCATTTTTCTAGTTTTAAAGCAGTTTGTTTGTTCAAGTTGTGGTTGAATTTAATCGTATATATAATTGAACACATTTTGTGCAACAGAATTTCTCAGACCCTGATCTGGACAATAGGGTGTTTTCCAAAATTTTCATTTTATGATATTCGTAACGGTCTCTGTATGTAAACAATATAATTTTTCATACAGTAGCAACTTCCACCTATTTTAAATGTATATTGTTTAAAAAAGAGGAGGTGTTGAAAAATGCTCGAACGATAGGGAAGGAAAGATGCCTGTTGAAATATTCATTTTGGATTGATACATTATTTGTGTTCGTCTACCGACAGTACAGCATACACTCTGAACAAAAAGATAAAAAAATCCATATTGCGTTGAAACGGGTTGTCCTAAACTGCAAAACCATGCTTTTGAAAATAATAAGTATAAAATCACCCTGTCATTTCTCTCTTTTTGATTGGTCGATATATAACAGTCCGTCAATTATAAAAGTGATAGGAAATACCCAATTCTATGAAAGTTATTCTAATATTTATGTTCAAAAACATCATGTTAGATTAAGATAATCTTATGAATCGTATAATCCTACCGATGTTTCACGATTCTATTCCAAATTTAATAGAAATCACTGATATGTAGATACCTTTGACAGGTTTACGACTAATTGCATGTCGATAAGGTCTTAACTGGTTCGTGCGCTAAAACCAAAGAATTCAGTTAAAGTAGAAGCCAGCCAAGGATTTGTTTGTCTCTTAATTCTTATAGTCTGAAGTGAGGATCACAGTGCACTTGACATAAGTCAGTTTTTTGACAGCTCTGATATTAAATGCCTATTATAGTGTTATTTTTTAAAAGTGCGAGTGTTTGCAGATAATTGTGATTTTATAGTTGTAGACACCGTCCTTGGCGGGTCAAAGTAAGACTACCAGTATCCCTTTATATATATATATATATATATATATATATATATATATATATCTAACTCCCTCATACGTACACATACAACCTACCCCTGTGTGTGAACGTTTGTTCGGTAAGCTCAAAGACATACATTTTTTAGTTGTGTGTCTCCGTCTCGAAAACTTTGTCGTTACGTATGAGCACCCTTCAATCATGTTTGTCAGAGTGACAACTTACTTGACAACGGCGTGCAATTCGAGTTGTCCTGTTATGGATCTTCAATATAAAATTGTACCATGCCCGGAAATACGATCAATGGAGAAGGCCGACATCTCGTACTAAATGTATTAGAGTATTTCCAGGACGAGAATGAAAACACCGGTCCCCTGTTATCCACTTCATGCGTACTGGAGAGAGTAGCAGATGCGCTGAAGATTAGTCTGCGCAGTGTTCCGCCCATGGTATGGAGACTCGATCTGTTTACTTATTACATATGGCGTTAATGACGAAACCGCCAAAAACGGTGACTACAACTATAGACGATTTCAAGACATGGTAGGTACTTCTTACATAATTCGCAAAGAGCGGCACAAGCCTAATGAAGGTAAATGTTTCCACCTGAATTATGTAGATACAATACTGTCACGTTGGTAGGCATTGGTAGACAAATGCGTCAAAAGTATGCACTAAAACTACGCAATTTTATCGACAAACAATGCAAATGTAAACGTATAGGCTTATCTCCTTCCAAACTATTCGTTGGCTGAAACTGAATTAGATAGACACGTCTTAAAAGATTTCCAAAGAAAAGTTTCCACCGTATGCCTGACAAGTTCAATCTACTGGATTCCATAATCGAATAGTCTACTGAAAAATCATCCAGTACACATCAGGCGTCAACATTTTTGTTTGATCTTGTATGTGTCCATTGTAAAAGTTTACCTGGTAATGCCCGGTGCTGCTGTATCTTTTTTGCTAAGCTGCGGGTCGGACTTCCATGCGTTTGGGCGTAACTGCAACAGAGAGAATGTGTTCAGTGCATAACTGTAAAACTTCAGACAAGAATAATTATTATTATACGCCGCAGTATACTTAAAAACCATAATAATCGTATAAAATAGTATTTTATGTCAAGAGTCCGTATCAGCACCGGTGGCTCTGACCGAACTTATATCATACAGCGGCGTAACGGTAGGTAATTATTTTTAACTAATTCAAGTCATCTACTTTTACTCGGGCATGAGAAATGTAAAGCCTTCCAGAACCTACTCATTTCTAAAACAATCCAACTGTCGCTTCGTGAATGGTTGCCTTCTAGTTCAAGATATAAAATAGTAATGTTGTCGAAGCTATCCAAATAAAATTTTTGCGGAGCAAATCCCGTATACATAGCGGTAGAACAAAACGACGAAAAGATCCCGAGAGTGTTGTTAGAGAAGTGACTTCGATCAGCATCGAGTTTGGACAATGTAGTCGACGCGGCAACACCCGAAGCGTGAGCAGTACTCCGGGCTGGGTCTTATCTGGGCCATGCACGGAGTAACGATGTTTTGTGGAGAAAAGTAATAACTGCTGCTCTTGTAAGCAGTATCAACTGACAGGCTTGAATTAAATTATTTATGCAAGGAAAATGTACAATTTACAGAAATGGTAAAAACTTCCGCTCTTACCGAAATTAGAAAGCTCAGTTGGCTACGGAGAATAGGTAAGGCTTACTTCGTAAAGCTATTTTTTCCTTATCCAGTTATTAAAACATATTGGTTAAAATATAACAGAAATATCAGATTTAGATCACAAATAAATGCAACAATAATGTGGCAAGGCAGCTTTTTACTGCAGTTCTGCTGGTTTTGTGGTCACTTGTCAATCTGTGGTTCTATGATTCTCAACATATTCATGTGTCTGATCTGATTTGAAAATAAATACTAAATAAACTTTACCGTGAAAAAAATGGACAAGGTTTTGAAATTTTGGGGTTAGCTTCACGTCAAAATCGAATAAAAAAATAAGAAACCTGTTATGACTCTCAGTAGTCAGTACCTGTCAAATTACAACTGTTTACTTCGGTGGTCATAAAAACTCCTGCCTTTTCAACCATCCTTATTTGCTGTCGCTGCCAAAAGTAACGCAACGGAAGGTTTAACAGCTCAACGATTTGTTATTTTTGTTGCACTAAAACAATTCTGTAATGACACATGTTGCCGCGATTTCCTTAGCGTCGTTTCTCCTCACTAGAAATGAGCATTTATAGGGAGGACAGGCTTTTGATCGCCAATCTGTCGTTATTGAAGCGATTCGAAAATCTGAGGCATTCGTGTCTTCACTATCAACACTTTATCAACCTCAAGTGGTCCTTGCACAGGGTCCAAATATTATAAAAACACCGACATGTTCAACCATTTGGAGAAAAGGTGCCCCTTTGCTCCTGTCGTAGGGACGCCCCTGAATATCGTACTTTCAAACGAGCAACATAACGGTGGAGTGTGGGAGCAGCAGGAAAATACAAAAAGCGTAAAACAATGCATACCTCCATTGTATATACTTCACAAAGATTTGCAACCATACATTTCCATTTTGATTATAGGCAATTTTCATGAGTTGTGTTTATTCCTTCGGGTAATGCAATAAAGGTGTTTACAATTATTCATTATTTTTTATAGAGGTCAGAATTGCTCATTAGTGAATGTATCACGTTCATAAAATAGATATTATAGAGAAAGAGGTTTACGTCGGTAGTAACGCTTCATTATTTGTTAGTGTGTGCTTAATTATACTTTATTAGATAAAAATATTGCAATATTATTATAATAATATATATATTATGTATTACTTTTATTGCTTATTGTGTTTTGAGAAAAGGAAACGATTGTGGGCTGGTCTTAGACGGTGGTCGGCGCTACTTTAAAAGAGGAAAGGATGACTGCGGGTGCCTATACTATAACTATCTAAAACTGTAATGACTCATCGATGTTCACGTGAACATCACTTAACTACCAGTAGTCGGCTGTTCATAGGCGCGGTATGAATGTTTAACATGGGTGAACTAGATTTGTCACATGCTTAATAAAGAGTGGTTTGAAACATAACATATTGTGAGTCAAAAATTTGGGAATTACCTTTATTCATCGTCGCTTCCACTTACATCTGACAGTAATAAACTGTCGCTATCGCCTTCCTCGTTGAAATTGACTATAACTGGCTCTATGATGGTGTCGATGTGGTGGTCAAGCTGCCACATTTTTGTTTCTTCCTTCACAACATGACGGATAGCATTCTGCCAAGCTTCGGGCGTTACTAGCTGTATGGAAGTCTCAAGTAAAACCTTAACGTCTGGTAATTTGAAGGTTGTGTTATAGCGCGCAATATAACCCTTCACTTGAGCCCAGATGAGCTCTATTGGATTCAGTTCACAGTGGTAGGGCGGTAACCGCAGCACAGTGACACCACATTGACGGGCCATCTCATCAGTCACGTAACTAATGTTCGCAGGTTTATGCTGTTTAATTTTTTCATACAATTCCGCTTTCACACATGAATCGTCAAACGGGATTCCTTTTTCGCGCAACCATTGCTGCATGTTACTTTTTCGAGATCCCATAGTCGGTACACGTTCGGCTCGACGACTATGGTAGGAAGCATTATCCATGACGATCACAGAGTTGGGCTCAACTCGCTGAAGCACCCCTTGAAACCAGCTCTCGAAGCAGCTGGCATTCGTTTCGTCATGGTAATCACCTCCTTTCTTAGAGACGAAAATCAAGTCACACTCTTCTAAAAAGCCACTATCCCTACCAATATGAGTTACGATCAATCTTTGACCTTTCCCTGACGGTCCACGAAGACCTGTTGACAAACCTTCAATGCTTGCTTGTCGGTTACTCACTACGTTTTTGTCTATCCAGGTTTTTTTAACTGTGTGACCTGCATTTACCCATGTCTCGTCCAAATAACACATTTTTCTGCTTTGTCGCCTATATTCAATCATTTCGCGTAGGTATTTTCGACGCCAGGCGACTATTTCAGGTCTCTCTATCAATACTGACCGATTACGCGTTTCGTAACGAAAATTAATTTCGTGCAGGGATTTCCTCATCACCTCGACGCTCATTTGGGGTATAATTTCATTTTCCTTGATCGCTGCATGTACAGCCTTGAGGGTTGGTATCTCATTCCTAAAGAAGAATGAATGTACGGTTCGCCTTAACGCCATTTTGCTATCGTCATCCAATTTAACGGCCTTTCGTCCCTTCAAATTAAACTTTGGATCAGTAGTAGCTCCAGTTTTCTTCTTTTCATGCACCACCCTGCGAATGGTCCACTCTGGAACGCCTGTCATACTTTCACAACGCGCGAGTGCATCTCTGTGCGACATAGTTCTGTTCAGATAATTGAACACGTTGAGCACGATTTCTTTCGTGTCCCTCTTCAGTGCTTTACGAAGCCGTCTACTTGTTCCCTGGCTTTCAGTACTTCCACTCGTGCCATTTGTACTCTCCATGGTTAAGTATAACCAAAAGAGTAACCACAGAAACCACAACAATAACAATCACACAACAATTCTTATAAAAACACACAATATGCGATCGCTCAACGAAACACGTTCCAATGCGTTGCCGACGCCTATGAGTCTGCCGGTCGAAGCGCGTCTTTGATTTCATTGGTTCTACCGGCGGAGAACAATCAGCCATTATTTCCATCTCTGTCTGTGCTGTTGACCACCGCAAAGCGACAGAAACGACATATGTCGTACGCTATACGGCTGTACTGGAAGGAAGCCGGGATCCAGCTCTGATTACGTGTTGATCACACGTTAAATAGTTGTAGTATACCGAGCTAAATTTTTATAATAACAGAGTCGGATTTGGATTAGCGATCTAGCCTATAAATCGTTTCCTATTTTGGTACTCAGCTAGTGATCATTTGTTCTACCCTTGAAACTGCTCGTCGATATTGTGTTGTTGAATTGTTGTGTTGTACTCTTGTTGGTGTGGTTGTTCTTGAGTGATTTTTTTATCAAGGTTGATAATGGACAATAAAAGGTCATATGCCACAATTTTAGTTACGAATTCAGTGAGTTTAATTCATGATGAGGACAACAATAGTGTGGAGCAGTTCAACTCTATAATCGCAAAATACATTGGGGTAAGCGAATAAATTATTGCTAGAAGAGGTCATACCATAGAAGATGTGCTGCAGCTGTAGTGAGCCACAATACCGGCCTGTCTATGTGGTCCAAATACATTTGGGTTCTAAGCTTAGTCCAACCTCGCTTATCAGTAAGATGGAACAAAGACTCAAACGCAAGAATCTTGGAAAGAAACTCAGACCAAAAAAAGTTGATATAAAAATAACTAACAATTCGGATAGCAATTCCAAAGAAAATATATAATAGTTTTATGGCGAATTCTGTCAAAAACCTGACATGAACGACATTGATTTGGAGGTTGCTAAGCAAGCATTTTTAGGGAAGCTTAGAAAAAGTGACGACGAGATTTTGCATATCGAACAAGTCACCAAATCACAGGACTGTGTTTGTGGCGTCTTCATCGGAGGATAAGGTTGACAGCGTCTCGATTTTGTGAAGTTTGTAGAAGAAGGCTGACAACAAGCTGTAAAGTTCTAGTAAACTCCATCATTGGACACCGCAGTTCAGTCTTGTGGTTTGTTTATTGATCGCACACATCCATTTCTGGCAGCATCGCCTCCATCTACCTATTACAGTAGACAAGAAATGTACTTAATCCAAGTATAAGCCTACTTGTTTATTGCTTTGCAAAAACTACCTAACTGTTTCCTCTTATTTTGACGGCATAAGATATTTTTATGACTCTCATTCAATTGTTACCATCTACCACACGACCCTTGTAAACATAATTGTGTTTATTGACATGAATAAACGAATTAGAATTTGAGTTCTTGAATTTATTTTAGGAAAGATAAAAATTTTTTGAATACATTTTTTCTTAGTCGGAACGCACCGTCGCGTCGCTTGGACTAGCAGGACGAAAAAGTA